ATTGGTGAAAGCGTACTTTTTGATGTTGTCTACTGTAAACTGGTTTCGTACAATTAATTAGACTAAAATAAACACAAACAAAGAACATAATTAAGATGTAATATGAATTGATTTTTATTTCACAGATATTCTCTCTATCTTTTAATAATCTAGAAGCAATTATGTCAATGATTAGAAATGAAATGTACATACTACTGATTATATGTATATATATATAATGTTAACTGTTGTGAACATTCTGGAAGAAGACTTTCAAATCATAAGGAGAAAAGTTTCTAGAAAGAAAAAAAGCTATCAAATGAATAAGACTCAAAAGTTGGAGTAATGAAGATTTTTGAATTACAATGAAATCATGAACCTGTCAATATAAAACCATCATTAAAAATAATGAAAGTAATGGGTAAACTGTTTCATCATAGAATGGAACTTCTTAAAGTTCTGAGTTCGAATACTGCGTATGAAATTTTGGATGCTCACTGTTGAGAAATCCTAATACTAGGATGAAACGGCCATCTAGTACTTACGCGTTTTCAATAATTATCTAACGTTGATCAATTCATGATTTTAACGAAAAAAGAAATTTCTAATTAAGCATATAAAATATAATGTTACGTAATTGATGATTATAAAGCTGAAATCACTAGGATAATTTGAAACTGGATAAGTTCATTTATCAAAGACTGATACAGTTATAAATTTTAAAACTAATCAGATGACTCTAAATTTCCATAGTATAATTGCGTAATATCCTATTTTATACGTTCATTTATTTAAGGGTGGGGGCTTTACTCATTCTGTTCTGATAATTTATCCATTTCTAATGATTATAATCACGTTGTTTCTCATAATAATTTTCATTTTTCTAAAAAAGTTGTCTGAATATGATTTGAAAATCCCTTTTTTTTTCTCTAGAATATTCACATCGGTTAATACATAACTATCCAATCAGTAGAATATTATTTATAGTTATCAAATATTGGATGCCGGATCAGTGGTCTAGTGGTTAAGTGCTCGTGCGCGCGAGACTGATAGGTCCTGGGTTCGAGTCTCGCGAGGTGAAGTCACGGGTGCGCACTGCTGAGGAATGCCATGTTCGGATGAAACGGCCGTCCAGTGCGTCAAGTTTTTCCATGGTGGTCTAGCTTCAATCGATTCATGATGTTGTAGTGTGGCATGGAGTCGCAATTGACTATGATCACCACTACAGGAAGACTACGTGCCAGTTAACCGATAAGATCCTTCGTAAGCCAAATATCAGAAGGTAGTTGATGGCTGTAGTCGAGATGTATTTGTTGGCGATCTCGTGGTATCGAACGAATACCGAGATCGTGCCAGGTCACAAGTGTGGTTACTGAGCGTAACGGAATTCGTGAAAGGTCACAATCAACGGAACAAGTAAGGTAAAACAACCTGTGGTACAATTGGTTATAATAATAATTGTTTCCATTACACCAATCGCGTTCTCTTGATGAAAGTAGGTCGCTACAATCACAACATCGAAAATATTTATTATTTTTAGTAGTGGAATTTTTGAGTCGATCTAAGCTAGACCCTTATTGAAGACCTCGAAGCACTGGATGGCCATTTCATCTTAGTATGGGACTTCTCAGCAGTGCTCATTCACGATCCCGCATTCTGGAAACAGACACAAGGCGAACGCTAAACCTCTAGAACATTGAGCTAGCATCAAATGGTTTTAATGTCTGACTTCAGTCAACCCATGATTTTGCGCAACCATTCATCCATAGTTCAAGGTAGATACTTGTCTATACCCGACACAAATTGGACTCCATTAGTCACTGTTAATACCTTGAAATCTGTGAAATCGTTGTCTTATGTAGATTGAATAGCTTTTGGTACTCAGTAATAAACCGTGTTAGGTCAATAAAGGTTATCGGTAGGAGGATTTGAACTTCATCATCTAGGTGCATCTAAAGTCTTGAGGGAACTCATAGTGTTTAAGAATTAGTTATCTAGTTTCACTCGTTATCACAGTCAGTTATGTTATTTATGAAGTTACTTATAAAAAGTAGGAATACTTTGATAACTATCGATGGTTTCCACAGTTGATATATTGTGTACTAGTGAAAGTATGATTTTCTTGAAAAAGTTACAAATAAGGTTTGGCTAAAGTTATGCTTGTCTAATGAGGTAAAATAGCAACTTAATCGACGGAATTCTTTCACCACTAATTACTAGGCAAATATGATATTGGTCACTACTAGTCAGTTACCCATTGACGGAGTTCCAATATGCTTGTAACCATATTTCTCATGAAATTATTCTTTGACTTGTATAAATTTATGACTAGCTGCAATATGTATTTTTAGTAGTTGTGGTGATAAGCCGAGTTCAATCGTGTTAGGCTTGAGGCACTTATCCACCGGAGGCAATGAAAAATGATCACCCATCGTTGTGAGTTGGTTTGAATTAGATTAATAAATCACTGGATGTTAACCCTGTGGCTTAAAGGTTTAAGTACTCTCGCGTGACTGAATTTTCTGGATTCGAACTCCTGTGGTGAGTTTATGGAGGCACATTGCTGAATGGTCCCATACCAGAATGCAACAGCTGTCCAGTACTTCTTAACTATTAATGATAGGTTAACTAAGATAAGTTCTTGATGCAAACTAAAAATTCTGAAATCTCCCCAAAACTATGGGTTGATAATTTCATAAACCTTTAGTTAAGAAAGTCACTTACTACTGGCTAACTTAAAAATGTAATATTAAAATGGTTTACAACTAAAGCATACAACAATCATGTCAACCTTTCAAAAAACATCTTATCGAAACTAGTTGGCGATTTATCAGTTCATCTATTTCTTTAGAATTTTTATTCAAAATATTCTTAGTTACCTTACTTGGTGCCTATAAAATAGAATGTGATACGTCATTTCCTTCAAGAATTCCTATTGACTGAGATAGAATTTGTTGTTCTCATATTCTTTGACCATGTTCGTATTTATAAAGTAAACGAACTGGAGTATTTCTATATAAGCATGAGATCACATCTGACTGATCTTTAAGTAGTGACCAATTTCATGTTTGTTTAGTTATTTAGTGCTGATCGAATTTTATCGAACAAGTTGCAATGTTGTCATTAGTATAAGCAATTCAATATCAAGTTTACTATGCTGAAGTGTCAGATGATTAAAGAAAGTCAGCAGGAAACTCCATATCTAGGTTTCATGATAGTTTGTACTTATAAAGAAGCTAAACCTGTATTCTCGACAAATACAATACTGATGATTGCTAACACGTAAATTAATTGGGTTTTGCGTTTTTCACTCACTACCTTCAATCAATGAACACGATGTTAAATGATATTTATGTAGATAGTTTAAAAAATAATTTAATGACAAATCAATAATCAATGTCAATATTATTAATAATTTACATATTCTCATTCTTACTGTTAAACTAAAATGTAAGTTTTATTTTCAACCTTATTGTTATGGGACATTAGGCGGCCATACCAAAGCAAGGCACAAATCCACGAAGTCACTGACAAGTGCATTGAACCATATTGATAGATGTAAACTACTTGGTTGAGATCCGCAAAACGATAGTAACCGATGGTTAGAGACCTTGAATGTTGTATTTCAAAATCATTTGCAATGGCTCAGGTGCATCCACTCTTTATGTTTTCCCAAATTCTAATCTCCCGAATTCTTCATATCACTATTTTTTTGTTTTACTCTTTCCAAATTTATTTCATTGGATTATATTCCTTGAATAACATTTCCAAACCCTAATCTTTCCGATTACTGCTTATAGTTTGACTACCTCTATCACTATGGGATTTGAATCGACAATTGTATCTCTGTGCTTAATGTGGTATGACAACTCGAACGGATGTACGTACGTACAACATTCTATGTTGTTGCTGACTTAGTCATTTGTGTTATGGTTCATTGATTTTTATTCACCGAATTCATTTGTACTCGTATCATATCTCATTATACTTAGTATGAAGTTTGTTTGTTTGTTTGCTTCTTAGAAAAAAACTATTAAACTTAAACTTTTTCCCAACTATCATTATTCTGAATATCCATGGGATCTATGAAAAGTAAATTAAATTTTTTCATTCTTATCATTATAAATGACAAATATTTTGTTTTCTCATGTATATACAATAAAGTGTCATAAAAGACACTAAGAAGAGAAAATGTATTCACAAAAGTCACATCATCTATCTATCTATCTAACCCTGTTTTATGATATAATCCCAATGAGACAATTCAATTAAAAAAAATGCATAGTTTAATTACTGAGATTTTTCTTTCTTTTTTTATTCGTTTTGTTTTTTTGAAACCATGTATTCTTTAAATAAAAAAAAAGAACATTGATTTATTGAATGGGTTTTTTTGTTCTTTTCTGTTTTTGTGAAATGCCCTATAGATTTGTTGTCAACACTCAATGAATGAATGGATAAAGAGGAGGGGGGGGGCGAAATGAAACTTAACAATTTTCTGTTATATAAATTATCTGTTCATTATTTCTATATATTTTTTTGCTTACAATAATAAGTAATTGTATATGTAAATGTATATACAATGAAACATTATAGTATGTGAATAATAAGCGAATGGCTGTATATTTTACTTGTGTATAATTAATATATATATATATACGTATCTGTGATTTATAACCATTTGTTTACTGTAACCAGGGGCAGGGGTGAATAGCGTAAGATTGAGAAGAGAAGAGTTTAGTCTTAATATCTTGGATTGTTTGCTTTTGAAGTATAATATTAATATACATTTAATCTGTAAACAATCACACACGCAAAAAAAATGGAAATTAACATTCAGGCGAAAAAAGAAAGAAAGTGGTGTTGTCAACATTCTAATGAATATCTACATACACACAATAATAAATTTTGCTCATCATTAATCTTAAAAATTTTTTTTAAAAATTGAATAAGATAAACACAAATAAATAAAACTATACATAATGAATGATTAGTTAACAGTAAAATCTTTCTCTTCTTTTTCTTTACACAGTTGTCATAGTAACTAGTGTTGTATCATCATTTTTACTGGTAGAACAAGAATTTGATAAATTTTTATGTGATAATTTTAATTCATTATTATGATCTTGTGAATTTTGTCGTGTAATTGTATTTAATTGTTTACGTTTTCTATCAGCTCTAGCTTTTTCTAATTGTTTTTTACGTTCTGAACGATTCCAATAACGACCAGTTTTTAATTCACTCATAGCATCATCATCAGTTGTAATACCGGATCGTTCTTCAGCTACTCGTTTAGCTCGTTCTTTAAGAATTCGACTTCTATAAAATAAAAAAAAATTCAATATAAAGTCGTTTAATTTTCGATTATGTTTAGATCATATGATTAGTAGTGGAATCTATGATATAGGTGTTGTTCTATGTTTAAGACTTATCAGTTGGAGCGAATTGTATCTCTCAGAATCGCCATTCATATTTAGTATGAAATAAGTTCTTACTGCTCGAAATAGCAATATGGTAGTAATGTAGTTAAGGAGAATACAGGCGAGGACAACTAAATGTATTTAAATACAAAATTACAGAACCATACGGCAAATACTTCATTTACAAAATTTTCATCAACTGTCTCATACTTCATTGTTTCTTCATTTCTCTATCAATCACTCTCTGTTCTCGCTTTCTTCAATTTAATCTTTTCAACCTTCTGTCACCAGGTATTCCATTTTCGTTTAGTAATACATACTACTTATACCTTTCGACATCAGTAGCACACGCTGTAGTAAATTTAGGTATCTATGATCTTGTTGTGTCGGTGTAATATTTACATTACCAGTGAGAGTTAATAATATCTTGTTGTTAATATTTAGGACCACAATTAATTAGTCTTTGTTGTTGTATGTGAATCCTGATTGTATTGTATCAGTACAGTCTCCAGTCACTAGTTTTTTTAAGTACATATCAAAATATGCTGAAATTCGATATCATGGTAAACAAAATAAACATCTTAGTTATTCTATCCATTCAATTCAGTTTTAACAGAAACGTTTTTTAAGAAAATAGAATCACGGTTTGATTTGGAATTAAGTACATTGATTTTCAATAGTGATAGTGTAGCGAACAAGAACACGAGTGGGGACAATCTAATGTATTTGACACCAAATTACAGAGCATCTCATTACAATCTGAACCGTATAGTAAATAGTTAATTGGAAAAATATCAATCCATCGTCTCAAACTTGACTGTTCCTTTTACAAATATCAGTTTATTGTCCATGCATTTTCATATCAATTGCGTTTCGTTTCCGTTCTTTCCTTATCGATCTTATGCTGAAGTACATTCTATACCTGACCACCATTATATACTACTTATGTGGATATAAATGACCCACACCGCAATAGTTATATCTGGTGGATTATAAAATCATGATATTTAATTCATTATTAAATTATCATCTTAAATTAACAACTTTGCAGTAGTAACTTGAAAAATGTTAAGGACTTATAGACAGTGAACTGTTGTTACTTTATATTCTATTAAATTTAATAATAGAACAATCAATCACAAAGTCTGGGATTTAGAGAAGGAATAATAAAGTAATGATGAATGAAATGACATATTTGGATTAAAGTATATTTTATTCAAGAATAGTTTTGTTGTGACTTTATGTCCGGCCTTTTTATCACGGGGTCTATCCACCAATCAAAATATGACTTATACAATCTTCGCACTGTGCCAAAACCAATGACGTTCGACCGGTATGGGAAGCCTAGCGTCCTTATTGGTCCTATGTTCGACTAGGCCGTCCAGTTGAGTTCAGAACACCAATACCAGCTTACTCTATGCGAATCATTTATTTCAGATACCGGGTTTATAAATCAAACAAACAGACCGCAGCGCACCATAAAATAGGAAATAACATTTGTACACAATAAAGCCAAAAAGTGGCTGTGAACGTGAGAGGAAGTAGTCAATAAGCTGAACATAGCTTAAGAACAGTAATTCGTATAATAATAAATTATAGGTGAAAATGAAGTTTATAATAAGAGGAATATAAATATACATAATCTAATCACTGAATGGTTATACCATAAGAATGTATAGATAATATTAGTCCACCAATATGTCTCAGAAGTTACTCGTGATTTAATCTTCGCTAGGATATAACAAGTTTAGTGTTTGTTTGTTTGTTTTTTGTGCCTACTTATATATCTGAAGTAATGACTGAATGAGGGATGTTTTACGTGACTATCAAACGCTTACATACGAGAAGTGATTTATAATTTATTAAATTGTGCTTAACTTTTACTACCTCAGATGTAAAAGATAATAGCAGCTACTGATAGTAAAGAATCCTTGGATTAGAGTCAACATAAAAATATACATCTTTTAGACTTGTATATTCATAGTTATATCATTAGTAATAAAAGTTCAAGGTATATAGTTGTTCAAGTCCAAATGTTGACATTAATACAGTGTAATGAAGGTATACAAACTTGATGCGTCTCAGATTGGACAAAGAGCTCTGCTTAGATGTCATCGTTAGTTACAATCTATTAATTCTATTTTACTAATCTCTTATTAGTTTAAGAATTAAAATACTGTTAGACATATTCCACGTTATACTGATCCAACTGCATGATTTTGTACATAGGATTCAGACAACATCTGATAAGTCAGTTTTAAAAGAGCCAAAGTTAGTGTCTTTGATTAACTGTCTGGCAGTTCTATTGATTTTAATCATTTGAAAGAAGTAATCCTCTTATGTTTACATTTCAAATACATTAAAGAATAGGGAAAGGTTCCAGTGCCAAATAACTTTTTGTGGCCCTATATCTGACTCCAGTTAGATCGTTTCTGATTGCTATCATATAATTGTTGTCGAAATATACATCCTGACTATTCTCCTACATTTTTTATCATCGACTTAACGAATAATGGAATTAAATAAGTCATATACGAAAATGGATGTTTGAATATATATATATATATATATATATATATATATATATATATATATATATATATATATATATGTTGTACACTCGTTGATCTAAAAAGACAATCAGAGGGACGACGTGACGGAAGCAAAGAAAAAAGATCAAAGCAAGATGGCTTGCATTGGAGGAGGCGTTTGAGCCAACTCCATTTAATCAAGCGTTAATCAGTATTGTCATAAATAAGCTACAGACATGTGATGAATAGAATAAGAAGTGTACATACATACACTCATATAAAAACGGTCAGGGTTGATAAGTGAATAATTAACAAGATCAAAATGTAAGTTGATAAGAATGGATAAATTTGGTTTGCTCAGAAGCCAGAATATGTTATGTGGGTTTAACATAGTAATTGACACTACAAATTTTTAAAAAAACGAGCTTTATACACTTATTTGAACAAATAGTTTAGCAGAAATTGAACGCTGAGTATTTAGAAGACATCATTTGTAGAAAAAAATCACATTAAACTTAATCTCAGGGATTGATACTTAACTAATTTCCACCTTTCGTGCAAAATTAGCCTAAATAACTTTAATTCTCATCATAACTCTGAAGAAGTCTGGATAAGTTTTTTGGACGAAACATTGCAATCGATGAGGTTATTTCAAATGTGATTTTCACAAATAAACTTTTCTATTATCATACCAAACTTTGTATTGTACATACAATGTCAGTTAATAATCTGTAAAAGATTTTCGTTTCATGCTGAAACTAGATTAGATCTTCTATAATAAAAAACATGATTATTATTATTATTAAACAAGCTGGATGGAGAGTGCTGGTGGGCGGCCTTTGCTCCTTCACGAGAAGTAACAGGCGTAAGTAAAATGTAAATGTAAAAGTATTAAATAAGCACAAAATATAAAGTGAATAACTAAATTTCAAATAACACAGAAGGTACAATAGATTGTTTTCTTTAAAAGAGCAAAACAAATTTGATTTATGGTTGAAATTCGTGTGTTGTGTTAAAAAGTGTTGATGATTTATCTTATATATTTTCATCTATTTATCTCTCCTTTATTCTTTCTTTTCCTTAAGGACAACACAAAGAAGTTATTATTATTATTATTATCATTACTTATCCTTGATCCGAATGTCAAATTGCCGCTATTATCCGTTGTCTACATTTACTTATTGAGTTAACCTGGTTTGTGTAGAGAATTATAGATAGACAAATTAGGAAATAAAGAGAGTATATGAGTAATTGACTGTTTCTTATATTACTTTTGTAATATTATCAATGTTCAAATATTTTTCCTATTTGAGAAAAATAGACAATCATATAGAATAAACTTAGTTTATTTGATTGTATAGTGAATATTCACTCATAGTGAACAATAGTACATTATCACATTGTAACTTGGAAATCATTATAAGATTTGGTACACAAAAACTATGTACGAAAACATTTTGTGAATAAGGGTCTGAGTATTCAGACTGAAAAGGATAATATCCAAATAAGTTATATTTCATTAACTGATAGTCGTTTATGTGAATTAGTTGATTCGAATTATTATCCCCAAAACTATTTGTAACTGTTGAAGTGCTAAGAAGACTGAGGAGAAACCACTGAAATTAATGTCGATAGGTACCAAACTCTGACATAGGTTTCGTGCTTACTGATAACGTCGGTGGTTTCTTGTCTTACCATGTGACTATGGTTCGAATCCCACATGGAGCATTAGTTCCCTCAAAAGTGCTAATACATCTTGCTGATAAGCGTTAACTAGTATGAAACTAAGATCCAAGTTTTTATGCTGACTACTTCTAACCATCCAATATATAAGCCTAGTACAAATGAAGTCGATTCACTTAAACCATTCGGCGAATTTCAATCTGTAAGAGGTGTTCTATGTCTTAAGAAAAGGCGATGAAATGAGCTAATATCTATATAGGACCTTGGATAAAAGTCAACAAATGACTTGACACTTAAAAAAGTATTGACTTAGTATTAATTCAGAATCTTTGTGACATAATGTTTTCCAGTACAATTTTTTATGAAACTGTTACAAAGTTATATGAGAGCAAGTCAGATTAAAATGGGATTGTTTGTGCAATATAATAATATATTATCTTACTACAAACCGTTGTTCTTTGGGTACTTTTCATATGAATGGATGTTGATTTCATAATGTAATTAGTCAGTTAGATAATCATAGGTAAAGAAGAATCTGGCATATATGTTCGTCCGTTCAAGTTACCCAAACATATCATTATATAGAGATAGAGTAATCAAGGCAAATACCATAATAAGAGTAGTAGTAACAGTATCAGAGGTAGTAAGATATATTAGAGATGTAGGACATTATTCAAGCAAGAAAAATGAATTCATAGAATATAAAATTATAATATACTTTAAAAAACTCAGGATCTATAGCAACGCAAAATATGAATAAATTTGTGCCATTGTTATTGATTATGAGGCTCTACTAAAATATTTAACTATTGATCTAGGCTAGTTTACTCATACTAACATGGGTTACTCTAACATTCAGTAACTTTTGAACTGATTCAGTGCACTGGGTGAGCCACCTCCAGTTTTTTACAGGCCATTCACATACCAAAAAATCGATTGTGAATATATTTATAAATGCATATATGTGTGTGAGTACTCACCTTATTGGTCGTCGGGTTATATAACGTGTTCCATCTGGACGTTTTTTAACTACCCATTCCATCATATTCCAATTATCCATTGGATAAACTTGCCCAGATAGAGGCATGCCAGTAGCTGTAATAGTAGATGTGGCAGCAGTAGAAGATGAGGAAGAAACAGCACCAGTAATGACAGAAGCGTTGACAGCAGTATTTTGATATTGTTTAGAATGACATGTTGCTGATGTGTACGCTGGATGAGGATAAACTAGAGGATTATTAGTGATACAGTCTAAATAGCCTATGGAAGATAAATATGGATTGAATAATCTGGGGTGTGATGGATTTTCTGTTTTCATTTTAATCAATTCAGCATGGTCAGCAATACATTGGGTATAGGATGAATTATTATTATTATTATTAATTGGAACAGATGACCGATAATTGGGCCTGGGTAAGAGGCTAGAACAATCTTCTGTTCTATTCATAGATAGTCCAGGAATAGAATTACATGGATCTGTTGATATACCTTTCATTGGATATTGATCACCGATTGGTTCATCGTGTATCGTTACAGACGCATATGGTGTTTCGTAAATATCTGAAAGAACCGGTTCTTCGTTCTAAAAACAGTGAATACAATTAATAAATCACAAAAATATAGGTTATGTAAAAGAACATTATTAATCTGTACAAACAACTACTAGAATTGTCTTCTGTCCCACTGAAGACTATATAGGAGCCTATGGATTTTCAAAAGAATTCCAGTCAATAGTCAACAACAATTGATTAGATTGAGAGATACTCAAACTCAGACACGTTAGCGTAACGTTATGAGATAATTATCAAGTTCAACACATATTCATGATCTTATCATTGGATTTAATTTAATTGACATGTGACTAATCTGCGTTAATATTAGCACTAGTCATTTGGTTACATTCATTTAACTTACCTGTTGTATGTAGGGAGCAGTAGTTAATATCGTGTTAACCTAATTTTTAATTCTGATAAAATTCAATCGATAAAGACGCGATATGGCCATTTCTATAGAATTCTATCACCTTTAAAGACTATATATAAATGTGACTGACTGTTTTCAAGCGCCTAATGTAGATTCGATTACTTAGTTGTTAGCCATGCTTTAAGTGTAAAAATTATTAATACCATCCAAGGAGTTGCACCTTAATAGTAACATTTGACTCATACTTGTTAATATGGGTTCGAATCTGATGGATTCAGAATTCTGTACTAGGTATCTTCAACCGACAGATAAAGATAGATTACAGGCGAATTCGAAAATACATAGCTAAGAATAATGATGTTGCAGGGTCAATGAAATGTCACTGAACCCTGGCTAAATCATCCGGTAACTGGGTCACTGAATATCGAACAGATCATCGATCCCTGTCAAGATCAAGGGCGGCCAACGCGCATCAGTTAATTGTACGTCATGGACTGGTCCATGAGTTAGTGGTCGCACTTTCGCTTGTACTTATTCTTACTAATATATTCCCGTAATGACGTCTTTTGTGTTGTATGATCATTAACACTGTCATAGTACTTTGATATTTCAAAGGGGTAATTCACGTTTGATGCTGACCTTGAGATGTGAATTCCAAGTTATCTGTTGGTCACATCATGCCCTTCTAACTTGAGTAGGTCCCCAACCATTCAACAGAGATCATCAACATTGATGATCGACAATGTACATTAAGAGTTTATCTTAATGTTTAAATAACTGTTGAAATTACAGTGATATGAAAATTTGTAGTACACAAGGATTTTCAGTAGAACTAACTGAATCCACATCACTGTTTTCATATTTTTACTTAAGTGAGCTTTGTTAAACACTGTATATGCTCTTTTAATTCACTAAATACTTAAAGAAATATAAGCCGAATAAAGTATCACTTTATCTGGAACATCTTCACAGTGCTTTCTGCTATTCAGTAACAGACTAGCTAAGATCAATTATTTATGTAAAGTATCAAAATTCTGTAATTTATATAAGCCCTTTGTACTAATAAATATATTATTTGTGATTTCCGAAGGAGTGGAAAGTTATATTTCGATGTTTCGCGATCTAATATATGCTACTTAAATAAATGCCATTAAATCAACACAAGTTTAAATAGTACAAATGAAACAATACAAAATAATTTTCGTAGAGTGAAAGTCATAATAGATCTGAATGTGTCATGATTACAGCACCAATCAAAGATATTTCCTTAGAATTGTGATTAAAGGATAGTTACTTTGGAAAATCATTAAATCGTAGGATATGTATTATATTATCTTTTTGTTTTGGCTTATCTTCTTCTGAATTAATGATCCTCGTTGATCTTCTGAAAAGATTCAGGGATAGGGAAATTTTTGCACGGAATGAATGTTCAGAGTTAAAATCAATATACTGATTTGAATGTGTTGGTTTTTGGTATATGGTTAGAATTGTCAATGGATTTGAAAATGGAATCAGCAACGGACTTCCATTGCAGGTTTTTTTTTAAAACAAACAGTCTAAGAATGATAGTTTACTATGTTCATCCTCCCTTTCAAATGTGCTCTCAAGGGACTGGCTTCAAAATTCAACTTTTGTAGTCGTGGAGAAAAGTCATGATTAATGTGGTCCATCCATACCGGACTTAAGCATTTATTCATCTCAGGATGTCATGCAATATCGTGAGTTGGTTAAACTGAATGATAGATCAGTGATCTATAAGTTAAGAGTTTTCACGCGTTACTGAAGGGTATGTGCTCTAATTTCAGTAAAAGGGCCATGGATGCACATCACAGAGGAATCTCATCTTAGAACTAAATAGTTGTGGTCTAGTTCATAAACTGAACTCTGATGAATTAAGACTACTCAGTTACAGTGTATATGTATTGTAGTAAGATTTATGGATTTCTATGATCATAATTAACGGAATAGAATTATCGTCATGCATAGATACCAACAACAAAAATCTATGATGTAATCATTTCATATCAGATAGATCTATGATATTATCATCGAATTCTAGTTTATTATACAGATACAAAGGGAATTTTCTCTGATTAATATATGATATCAGAATGGGTTTAGTGGAGATTTTTTAGAAATTTCACAGGTTGAAATCATGAGTCAACTGAAGCTAGACCACCATGGAAAACCTGGAAGCACTGGACGGCCGTTTCGTCCTAATATGGGACTCCTCAGCAGTGCGCATGATAGTCAATTGTTATGGTCACCTTTGTTAAATGATATATTTTTGTTAACAATCAATGTTATTATTGTATTACTCAGTATTCGTAATAATAATAATAATAATTTAACAAACAACCTTTTACCGATATTTTTCTCAGACAGTCATGCGTGTTATTTTTGTATTCAAGTAACTACTATATATTTTGTAATGAATGATTTGATTTCTTTTAAAATAACCATTTATATATATATATATGCATAAGAACAAGTGAACAAATATGTATTGAACATTGAACACTTGTTTTTTTGTGCCCAAAATCTCGTGTCTACCATTTAAACTAAAATGTATATGAAGATAAATGATGAAGGAGTATGATTCAAAGTTCTTTGTTTTACTTTTTTTCTTATGATAATAAAATGTCAAGTTTGTAAATTATTATTATTATTGCTTATTCTCTAATAGTCATCTTCTAATCCCTCTATCTATTTTTTTCTTCAAGATGTCTAAAGAAAAAATTCACTAGTTCAATGTTTAGAAATTTATAAACTATAAAAGTTATTAGCAAAGATAGATGGTGGATTGCATTGGGGACTAGGACGAGCGTTTCGTTCTATTTGGGACTCGTCAGCCGGACGACTGGATGTATCTGCATTTCAAAGTTGATGTTCACACTGAAACTCGAACCCAGTACCATTGGTTTCAAACGACATCACATTATCCACTTAGTTACTGAGTCTTGATTGACACTTGAATGTGAAATGGGATGAAGTTTCAAATTCACTTTTTTTTGTTTACTTGAATCTTCCAGCTGACGAGTCTAAAATGGGGCGAAACACGCGTGTTTTATTCCACTGCTAGCTACTATCTATCTTTGTTTATAAAGCTTGTGACCTAAGGCAACATCGAGGCAATCCATATAGGATGCACATATACCAATAAGAGACTGATCAATTGCAGTCCTAATCATCAAATGGGAAGATACAAATAAATAACACTAAGTGAATTTATAAAAAACTTATTTTTGAAATAAAATTGGATGTATTCAATCTTTTAGCAATGATTTTAGTTTTAATTTTAACTAGTCAATAAAATGAGAGATTATTACTTTTGTCATTTATTCTTAATATCATAACGTGAATTACAGTTAAACAATGTAAATCACTGAACATTAAGTTAATGATTTAAAGTTTAAACGTTTACTTTAAGATCAAAGGTTTTCGGTTCAATTTCCTGTGGAAAGATCATGGATAAGTACCTCCAAAGACTTTCATACGATGATCAAGCAATTATTCAATGATTCACGATTTTAACTAAGATCAATTACTGTATTAAACTGTAATGTTCAAATAATGATGGTTATGTTTATAAGGGGATATAACTGTATCTAGAAGTTAAATGAAAAAGATCATGTGGTACTTGTTGTATATATATATATATATATATATATATATATATATGTATACTAGTGACTAATTTCGACAGGAAATTTCTACAGTTCTAGTGAGAAGTCGTGACCATTAGAGCTAACCTGTGTTGAGTGTGAAACTGATACCCATCGAAGTCAATAAAAGATGGCTAGTCAAATCGCGAATTGATTAAATTTAGATATTAACACCGTTAGATGACGGTTTAGTGGTCCAATGTTTAGATGTTCATGAGTAATATCGAATGTTTTCGATTCGATTCCTGGGTACAAGATCATGAATGAGCACTGTTAAGAAGTCTCATACTAAAACAAGACAACCATATAGTGTTTCTCGATATGAAATCATAATCTAACTTAGACCGGTTCATCATTTCAACAAATATATTTATATGCTTTGGAAAATTCTTTACGACTTGAAAAATTCAGTACAAACTTTTCTAAATATCATATTGATCCTCTAGATTTCGAACTCCACTTGAAATATTAATTCACCACAAAATTTGCTATCATCATTCAAAGAAAATGGCTTCAAAGTTTGTTGATTGCCTTCAACCATCAATACACAAACAATAATAATAATAATAGCAATAATAATAATAATGATAATATGATTTCCATACAGAACATGTATTATTGGACAACTATGTAGAAGTTGACCAAAAGAATATATATATGTATATAAACAATGCTGATCATAATAAATGGGTGTAAGTTAAGACATTAAAAAAAAGTCTCTGGATGACTGTCGATTCTGTGAAATAAATCTCTCAATATCCATCAATGCTTACAAAAATCTTGTGAATTAAGGCACTATCGAGGCATATGCACAGTATACACATATGCCGATAACAGACTGATCAATTGCAGTCTTAAACCTCAATGGGAAGATACAAGCCAAATTATACCAAGTGAATGGAATAAATTATTGAAAAATTCTAAATGAAAAAAAAATAAAATTACTTTTATTGACTTAGCCAATGTTTTGAAATTTTCGATAGAGTTTTGTTCTGTAAACTGGATGGTTTGGTCATGGAGCTTTTATTGTTCTTCTGAATGACATTATATATACCTGAAGTTTGTGCTGATGTGTGTCGTTCAGAAGAACGATTATTGCTCCACGATCAAACCAGCCAGCTCAGAGAATAAAACTTCATCAAAATCATCCAGCTGAGCTATAAATCTTTTCCACCATTGAAATTTTCAAGATGACTATCATCTCTCTTTGTCAATTTTACATAAAATATAGTTGACCTTTGGCAAATTAGTATAATGTTGGCAATAATAATAATACAGTAGTACTGGTAATGTAAAATACATTATCATATTACCCTTTTTATTTCATACTTCCCACTAGCATTTTGGAATACTACGTCAAATCTCATTAAATTATTTTAAAAAATTCTATGTGAGTCATATATTGTTTTTCTTTGTTGACGTTGGTGTTTTGTCACTGATAGTTTCTATTCTTTTACTTCTTGCTGGTACCTACCTGTATTGATAGTTAAATGTATATGTGTTAGAGTGTATGATGTATATCAACATGCAAAACTAGTGTATACATGTACACAATGTCTACATTCATGTATACAAAATTATGAATATATAGTTGACAAGTGATTTATACTGTATCTTAGTATCATCAAATTATTCCTTTGTCTACGGTTGAAAAATTGGGAACAATAAATAAGTGAGAAGAATGAAGAAAATAGGAAAGAGTAACAATTACACTTTGTCTATTCTCTCTGGTTTTTTCTTCCACTTGTTCTTCATCTTCTTCTTCATCATCATCTTCATTAGTTGGCTTCGTTTTTGTTTGATTTATTTGTAATTTTGCTCATGTCCCGCTGAATTATAAGCATTTAGATAGAAGTTATATATATATATATATATATATATATATATATATATATATATATATATATATATATATATATATATATATATATATATATATATATATATACACGTGTCGCCTAATTACTTCTATGTTCTTTGACGAATAATTCATACTGTACATACATAAATATTTTGTAATTAATTATTACATTTCACAGGTTTTCTATGATTTTCAACAGTTGAGATAATGAGTCAATTGAAGCTAGACCACCATTAAAAACCTGGAAGCACTGGACGGCTGTTTCGTCCTATTGTGGGACTCCTCAGCAGTGGGCATCCACGATCCCACACCGCGAGATTTGAACCCAGGACCTATCAGTCTCACGCCAGGCGCTTTACCAGCTAGACCACTGAGCCGGCATCCAACGGTGTTAATGTCTAATTTCAACTAATCCACGAAATTGGGCGACACATCTAGTTGCTTAAGCACCTGGCGCGAGACTGATAGGTCCCGAGTTCGAGTTCCGAGAGGAGGGATCGTAAATGCGCACCGCTGAGGAATCCCACAACAGGACGAAACTGCCGTCTAGCTTCAATCGACTCATGATCTCAACTGTTGAAATTACTACAATCTCCACAAAACCCCTTCTGTTTCTACGATATTCTCTAGACGATGATGATGCTAATGATGATCAATTTTGACAATTTTGTTAAACCGCACTGATTACAACAGAACTGATGTCTTACAAAATATTATACTTTCATTTTAACATAAATTATGGAGTGAATATTTTGTTTAATATTCTACATTAAGTTATATAATTTCCTGTTAGTAGCAGTAGTATTATTAATATTGGTATCATTAATACTAATAATAGTATTGGTATTAGTAGTATTATTTGTTGTCGCATGATTTTTTTATACATTTTTTCTTGCACAATTAACTATGAGTAGTTAAGATTAAGCGAAATTATTTCAGTTATTTTATACTTCACATCATAAAATGATCTTAATTAATCAATCATTGAAAACTAGGAAGTATTATAGTGCCATTTTGTTCCAGAATAGAGCTTTTCAGCAGTACATATCCATGATTTCACCAGTGATTATACCCAGGACATTCAAGTTGTTTAATAAGAACTTAACCTTTAAAACACTCAACTAGCGTCTAATATGGGACCCCCCAGCAATAAGCATCCATAATCCCAATTGCAAGAATTAGATCTTGGACTTTCGCCTTCATATACATGCACTGCTGAGGAGTCCTATATTCAAAAGAAACGGCCGTCGAATGCTTCTAGGTTTTCAATGTTGGTCTAGCGCTGATGGGTTCAGGATTTTGTTAAAATTCAACAAACTTCACATCACTATACTACCAGCATCAAACGGTTTAAAATCGAGTAAAATGGATAATTGATAATATGCCTTTAGGTCGTAGGTAACATTACCAAGTTTTGCCTTGATAATTTAGGTCATTATAATAATTTTGAAATACTGGTCTATATTAAGTAGTTGTCATCAAAAACAACTCATATGATTTCAACAGAAAATCAGAGGTTTAAATATCCTAGAGATATTATCAGTTAAATGCAAACTTGAAAACATTAACCATAATAAATGTTCATTAATTTTACGATTTGTGTTTTTATTACGTAACTCAAACAGTATATAAACATATCTGCTTTATTTCAATGAAGAATAACACTTTACAAAACACTAGACACTGGAGGCTGAAGGGTTATTTAGATCCTCTTGAGAAACCGTGCTTGAAGTAGTTACTCATCAGTAAAATAGAATGAATATAAATTTCGAGTTGAATCTAGTTGATACTATCTTTGAATGGATTATGTTTGACCTCGGTACTTGATGACTTTTGTTTGTTCATGTGTACATTGATTAAGAATTTCAAATCTTAACAAAACAATTCATAATGAATATTACTTCAAGATTTATGTTATGCAGTTTACTTGAAAATACAAGCCATAATGTTATGGTTTAGTTAACGAAGTTCGTTTCACATTTAATAATAATATAAGAGAAAGAAATAACAGAACCAACCAATCTGATAATGTCTCAATCTACTCGGTCCCACCAACTCTAAGAATTTAACAAGGGAGTCACGATAAAATGACTGATTCTAGTTGTATAGATCTTACGTTCATGGCACAACGTCATTTAATAAATTGATTAGCCGCCTATATTTCCATAAAGTCTCGACATCGCTAACTAGTTCATAGTGGTAAAGTAACTAAAATAACATTCATATAAATCATAATAATATACACTCGCCAATAAAGCTAGAGTTTCAAAATGATAATAATAAATAAATAGTTTAATTGACTCATGAATTCAACTACTAAAATTACTATAATATTCACAAAAACCCTTCTCTGATTATAATTATCATGTGCTCAATAATGATGGTCTCCAACAAGTATTTCTTGGAGTTCTAGTGAGAAGCCATGACCAGTGGAATTCAACCGGGTATGTTGTAAGATATTAACTCACTGATGACAATGATGAACGTTGGTGCAATTTTATGGACTGGTTGAATTTAGACCTTAACACCATTGGATGCCGCTTAGCTCAATGGTCTAGAGATTAAGCGTTCATGCGTGAGATCAATAGGTCCTGGATTCAAATCTCACATGGTATGAGATCATGAATGTACACTTCTGAAGAATTCCACATTAGGACAAAAATAACTATTCAGTACTTCCAGATTTTTCTTAGTGATCTAACTTCAATTAACTCATAAATTCAATTACTAAAATAAATAATTATCATTACATCTATAACATTAAATGAAATCAACTTACTATTATATTTGTTTTATTCATATTCATTAATTCATTCAATGGTTGAACCATTGTTGTTGTTGTTGCTGTTGTTGTTGATTGAACTGTTAATTGTTTTGGTTTATTTGTATTCAATATTGTTTTATTTGTTAATGAACAACAAAAATTATCATAAAATTCATATGAATGTAATTTATTATTTGAAATATTCATTGATGGTATTGGCTTAGTGATTGTCATTGTTGTCACTACACTATTATTATTATTATTATGACTATTACTGTTACTATTATTACTATTATTATGATTATTTGATAATTGTTCATTTAATGTAGTTGTCATACATTTCCTTGGTGATATATATTTGATTGGATAATAATATTCATTATAATATATTGGTAAAGGATATAATGGATTAAAAGGTAATTGTTTATTTTTATATTGATTCATTAATAAAGATGATTTTTCTAAATTGATCAAAATAAAGAAAAAAAAAGAAAAAGAAAATAATCATAATGTACAATTATAAATCATTTTGATTGTTATATTAAATTTGATTGAAAAAAGATGTTCAATAATCAATATTGGTTTAAAATTGATTTTTGTATGGATTGTTTAAATCTTCCTATTGTTTACTTGTATTTTCCAGCTGAATAGGACTCGAATAGGACAAAACGTCCATCCTGGATTTCACTACTAGCCGCTATACATCTTTGCTTAGAATGCTTATGAATTAAGGCAATTTCGAGACAGTTCGCACAGGATGCATATATATCAACAAGAGACTGATCAATTGCAGTCCTAATCATCAAATGGGAAGATACAAGTAAACAATATCAAGTAAATTTAAAACTCCATCCCATTACACAAGCAAGTGACTATCAGGATTCATTAGCTAAGTGAATAATGCGATGGTGTTTAAAGTGAATGGTACTGGGTTCAAGTTGCAGAGTGAATATCAACTCTGAGATGAAGGTAAATCTAGCTGGGGAGTCCCGAGTAGGATGAAGTGTACATGTTGGATTCCACTGCTAGGCATTATCCATCTTCTCATTGATGTTTAGGACTGAAATTGATTAGTTTCTTATTGATATATGTGCATTCTGTGTGAATTGCCTTGATATTGGCTTAAATGACAAGCATTCTAAGTAAATGTGGATAGTGGCTACCAATGGAATTCAGGAAAATCAACTTTGGTATGTAGATATATCTAGCTGACGAGTTCCAGATAGGATAAAACGCATGTCCAGGATTCCCTGTTAGCCACCATCCATCTTTGCTTATAATCAATATAATATAGCAATTATCCTACAACCACTTTTGATTATGATTAGTTTTGGTTAAGCCCTTTATTAACTTAAATTACTAACAATCTTATTCTAACGGTAACAGTTCTCATATATCCCTGTACTATAATGATCACTATTATATCTGTATAAACGCGTACGCTTGATCATATGACAGACTTTAGCTTAAATGTTGATAACCTAAATATCGCTCGATGAATCATTATCTTCCTCATGTATAATATGTATGCAACTCCTATTATTAGTCTTCGCCTTGCCTAGCTGTGCCATTATTGGTCTGACCATAAATTTGCCTCTGTATATGTTGTCGTACACACATTAACCTCTCCGCTTTAAATTCGTTCGATATGCTTATAGCTTTGTTACCCGTGCTATCCGCTAATAAACTGTAGTCGTCGCTTGTATTGCATTCTGATTTCAAATACAGTGGGATTTATATAATACGGTTACAAAGGTGATTGATTAACGAAGCAAAGCCACTACAATGGTTGCATCAACTAAATTGGATTTTAATGATCTTTTCTATGATTAATTATCAGAATGGAAATTTGATTTCCTTTTACTGATATATTGATTATTTGAGTAGATATGTCATAAAATTTACTTGTACATGTAATACACGAATTATTTTATTATGTGGATTAGGACTAATCAGTTTAATCTATACCGGTTATGTCAAGACATCAACTTAAAGAATTCTTACTTATGACCATAGACATTGATCAAAATAAGTTATGAATGTTAACAATAGAGAAAAAAGAATCTAAATCCGTAAAAGTATTCAAATATCATACATCTTAAACAAGTTGGTAACTATTATGACTCAACTGAGATAGTAACATTGAGATGCTGAAGGATTTAGCTAACAATACGATCCAAACGTATCAAGTTGAAATGACAAATTTCATATTCATGACTTAATGTCTGTTCCTTCTGTTGTATCCCGATGAGAATAATGAATGGTAACTTTTGGAATCCATTTATGAACTATTACTATGCGTATATTTTTATCGTATAATTGTTAAATGACTAAACTATTCATATTCGTGTTTCTCTTATCATAAGCTTTATTTTGACCTATGAACCATTATTATACGATTTACCATTCTTGATTTATGCTCTGTCTATCAATTACTATCTCCCACATCCACAGCCACATTAAGCTAAATCTTTTACAAATGTTGTTTCCTGTTTTATGGTAAGATATTGTCTGTCTGATTGGTATATCAACCCAGTATGTTTGAAATACATGATTCATATCGTGTAGGCTGAGATTGGTGTTCTGGACTTAACAAGCAGGGCCAGGTGGGAAGCATGACTGATAAAGACTCTAGACTGCTCGTACTTGTTTTATGCATCATTTGGTCCGCTCGATAAATCACTGTTCTTTAATTGGCGGTATCATAACGTTATACATTATTAGGACAATAGTAATCTCTTTATTTAATTAACTAATGGTCTTATCATTTACAATATTTTCTGTTAAGATTTGAGACAGTGTTCATTGAGTAAATGATCAATCTGGCTAACATAATCCTACCAGATTTTGTTGCATAAATTGGATTGTCAAAACGACAAGTATCTTTTAAAAACAAAAATATGACTATCAATGCCATGAATGAACTTGATAGTTTCAAATAAATTGAGCATTGAGCGGAAAGTTAATTGTAAATATATTTTTTGTTACATCTCAATCAATAGAAAATTGTATTTTGAAGTTTCGTGACGTGTTGTAAACTACTTCTTCAGAGTAAATAAATAAGCAATATTGGTTAGGGTCACACAACTTCAGAAATACAGTTCTATTTTCATTGGGATATAATAAAAAATGTATTTGTTATTCAACTGTGATAATGTTTGGATTATATATATAATGTTGAAATCATGAGCCGATCTAGGTTAGACTACAGGTAAAAACTGGAAGCACTGTTTCACCCCAGTAAGGGCCTCTTCAACAGTGCGAATCTACCACTCTGGAGGCGGGAATCAAATTCACAGCCTTCAGTTTTATTCGCCAACACCTAAACTTCAGATCACTAAACCGGTAGCAAACGGTGTTAATATATAAATTCAATCAATCCATGATTTGACCAGCCATCTTCTATTCGCTTCAATGAGTATCAGTCTCACACCCAATATAGATTAGTTCCAATGGTCACGACTTGTCACTAGATGTGTAAATCGTTTTATTGAAAGCAATCTAACTCAATATGAATTTTTCAGGTTAGCCATATTTGTTTTATTTTGGTTTCTGGTTTGAATAGAATATGGATTTTATTTATTTATCGTTTAAGAAAATTCTTAGTAAAAGCTTACCATGAGGTAATAAAAATGTTGTTTCTTTTTCATTAGTGAAAATGATCTGAATTATCTCTTCCTAATGATAATGTAAGCAAGTCATTAGCTTAACGGATAATACATAGGTGTTTAAAGTGAAATGTTTTATGTTCAGTACACAATATGTACATCAACAGTAGGTTATATGTTCATACAATTGATGAGTTAAAACGCATTATTTGAATTCTTTTTTTAAACTTACAATTCATCTATTCTATTTAAGGGTTTATTATGAGATATGTAAGATGAAAAAAAATAAGGTAGACTTTTCTAAAACTTGATCATCTCAAATTTATACTATTGAATATCATAAGTAGTTGGTCATCATTTACGCTAATTTGCAAGTTTCATTAGTTATAACTAAATAATCAAATACTATTCAATGTATTAAAAGAATCATCTTTGTTTAAAGAAATTTTGTGTTTAATGAACTTAATAATCGATCAGTCAATTAACAGGTTACAAGTTTGAACAAGGATTATGGACTTTGGACAGACAGGTATTATCATAAATAAAGTGTGACACATAGCTGGATACGTAAATGTGTACTTGATAGCTGATACCCAAGCCATGCGATCCCCACTTAATCAGTTAGCAATTAGTGTCCATAGGTATGATATGTTCGTTACACCTTTGAAGTGCAAAGTACTTTTACAAGACTGGCAGGACCCTGATCCTGCATTCACCCTGAATTGTGAGCAGAGAGAAGTAGTCGAGAAGTTCGTGTATCTGGGTGCTGGTGATGCTGTGGGTGATGAGATAAATTCACGCACAGTGAAAGCCAAAGCGGCTTATGGTAATCTGAGCAATCTTTGGCGCCTTCATGATGTCAGTCTGGCCGTAAAAGGTCGGATCTAAAACGCGGCGGTGAGAGCAGTTTTGCTCTGTGCTTGTGAAACTTAGCCTCTCCGAATTAAGGTCTGTATTTGACTATCGTTGTCTCCGAAGGATCGCTGACACCCAGTGGCAACACCACGTTAGTAATGCAGAGGTTCAGCATCGTGTGTTCAGGAGCAGTGACGATAATTCACTTGATGTCACTATCTTGAACTATCAACGTCGGTGGATTGGACGTGTTCAACGAATATCGTCCCACAGAATTCCACGTCGTGAATTATTTGCCGACTGGTTGGAAAAAGAGGAAAGGTGATCACTGTATGACATGGTGTCATGGTATGAAAGAAAGCTGTACAGGACTGGCTTGTGTTGGTTCTTCACAACTCCCTGGTTGGGGTCCTAAAGGTGGTGCAACACAGTGTCTAGAAGCCAGTGGCAATCCTGATGTAAATTTATTTCGCTTTTTGCATAAAAATGGACGCATTTTATTAACTGGAAGAATTCTCTGTTGTTGTAAAATTCACGATTCTACTCATTTGGATCATAGAAGTATATTATCATTTCATTACTCAAAGTAATCTACCTCAATAGTCAGTTTATTTGAGATTATCAAATTAAACCCTAGTAAAGAAGTTTAAACATATCATATCAGTTGTGAGACAGTAACCCACCAATTACATTGGAAGATAGTAGTATAATACCCGACCGTTGTTGCTACCTTGACGTGATGGTTGGGCTTGCCTATCGTGTTGAAGCGACCGAGCTATACTGGCTGGAACAATCGTTCCTCAAGGTCCTACCATTCAGACAGGTTGGATGAAGAGCGGTAAGACTAAAAGCAGTAAACTCAAAGTCCGAAGGTGAAGTCGTGATGCTGACTGTACAGAGGTGTGACAGCAGTAAGGTGTTTCCTTCAGACAACCAGCATGACAGCGATGCTGCCTTCCCACAAGGAGGGGTGGGGTTAGAAAAGGTCGACCCTAAAAATGCACACCTTGCTCTATCCCGCGAATATCCATCTCCAGAGGTAAGGTCTCAACAAATACGGTGCTAACACGAAAATTACTCACAAAAAGGTCGTGTGTGACCGACCTCAAGCAGTTGTCCCTTGGACAATGCGGTCACGTTCTCAGGTCACTAAGACCACCTCTAATCCAATTTCCTTTCAGGTACCTCCAGAAGAACCCTTCCACAGTATGGGCAACCGGGAAGTGATAACCGCCCTCATAACTCTGACAGCACTCAAGACCACTGTATTCATAATCAACCTCTTTCTTCTGAGTGAGTGATGTAATATCACGAATTAGTCGAAGTTATATCTATAAATTATTAGATATTGGGTCAGTGGTTTAGAGACCAAGCTCGAACCGATAGACCTAAAGTTCCTCAATTCAATCCTCTATCGTAGGATCAGGGATGAAAACTATTAAGAAGTTCTATATCTAATCTAAAACAATTGTCTATTAACTTCTAGTTTTTAATGGTTATCTAATCAACTTTAATCCTTGATGCAAACTATAAAATAAGTAATTTCAATGGTTTGGATCATGAGTCAGTTGAAGCTAGACCACTATGGAAAAGCTGGAAGCACTGGACGGCCGTTTCATCCTATTGTGGGACTGCTCAGAAGTACGCATCCCGATCCCACCCCGCAGCGAGATTCAAACCCAGGAACTTCAGTCTCGCGCGCGAGCGCTTAACCACTAGTCCACTGAGCCGCCACCCCTTTTGATATAAAATAAGTACTGAATTAAATAACACAGTCATATTAATGAAATCTAACCTTCTTTTAGAAATTTCTCCGGATTATGTTCAGAAATCAAATTAGAATTAGGTAATTTTTGGTGATGTTGTTGCTGTTGTTGATAAAAATTGGATTTTTGAACTTTTGTATTAGATTTTATAGATACATCTTTTGCAAAGTTCACATTACGGTTTTGTTCATTCAATATACTTGTATTATTGTAATTGGATGAATTATTCACTTCTAAATTATGATTAATATTATTATCTGATGTTGATGGTAATTGTTCATTTGATGATTTATTATTATGATTTCTACCAGAAATTAATGATGATGAAGTTGATGTAGATGGTTCTGGTGAATTGAATTGACGAATGATGTATAATATGATTCAGTATAATTAATATTTGGATCTGGATGAATATATTGATTATTATTATTATTACTATGAGTAGTATATTGTGAATTCCCATCAATTGACCAATTGGATGATGGACTAAAGGAATCGTTTGGTGTTATATGATGATTAGTATTATTAACTTCACTGGAGTTATACTGATAACGACTGTGATGACGATGGTGGTGGTAATGATGTGGATCAGGAATAACTGCAGATAAAGATAACAGGGAACCGCCCAAGTCGGACAATGAGGCAGCTATACCTTCTCCTAAACTATTTCCATTATAATGTAAACTACTCATAGTTCTTGTAGGGTAATCACTATTAGATAGTGTTGTTACCGGTGGATATTGTGTATTATTATCATTATTATTACCACCAGTAGTAATACAATGGAAACGTTGATCAGTAAAACTTCCATTACCTGTAGCGTGATCATCATTATTAATACTATTATTATTGTTAAGAATATCACTGCTCCTATTAACAAAATTATGAGTGTTATTCATTGGTGAATCATTTTGACTTTTTCTACTTTCACTAGTACAATATGCACTTGTATCTCCGCTACCATTTAATCTACTTTGTTCTAAATTATCTGGATAAATTGAATGAGATTCGATTAATTTAGAATTAGAATCAGGACAATATGTAGTTTGTTGTTGTTGTTGTTGTTGAGCTTGTGATTCATGAAGTTCAGATGAAACTGGATGATCTACAAATATAACAGAGAAAAATAATCTCTTTCATTAGGTGTTGTTTTTTATCGATATTTATATAGTCTGATAAGTAAAATAATCAAAGTCCGTTCGATACAGTTTGATCATATATAATCAGGTTAGAGGTTTCCTCTTACTTAAATGATTAGTGATCAAGAAACAAGAATAAATAAATATCTTTATATTGATATCGCAAACCGACATCACTTAGACAATTATTGAAAACTGAGAAGTTTCAGATAGCTGTTTGGTCTTATTTTCAAGAACTCTTTGGTACAACATATTTGTTACCCTAAGACAGGGGGTTCGGACCAAGAAACTCTAAGTTTTGTGTCAAGCTCTCAAACTTCAGAAAAATTAGACAACTTGAGATGACCCTGTTTCTTTTTCTTCTGTGGGTAACTGTTTCGTTCCTGTTATTCGATTAATAATTAAGCACATAAATTGAGGCTTGAGTTTCAATAAAATCTTCAACCCTAATAGATGGGACTGCCAATAAATTATGATAACTAGTATCGTATATGAAATTAATTTTATGCAAGATTTTGGATAAAAGTGACAACGGGACGTAGGCATAGGTTTCATGTAGATTAGAACTCGTAGATGAAACATATCTGAATGTTGAGTCAACGAATGTTTTTCTTGGGATCCAAACATAACTCACCCAACTACTTCAAAAATATACAATCATAGTTTACTTTCTTTAGTAATGAGATGCTTTTAATAACTAATTTATTAGTAATGACTATTCATCAAGATTAGAGCGAATAGTTTGACAGAGATTTGGCGCCGACTATACAGAAGTCACTGATTGATTATTATCCTGAAGAAGTCCAGATAAGTAAGCTGGATGAAACGTTGGAATTATTTAAATTTCAATCGCTGAGATTATTTCAAATATAACTTTCACATATAATGACTTCTTTATACTCGGCGCCTAATTTCTGTCAAACTATTCATTCTAATCTTGACGAATATTCGTATTAAGTCGTTGAGTATAGTTGACAGAGAACTTTGTTTCATCTAGTTTTTACGCAATTTGGGGCTTATCTGCAACGTGTATCTGTAATCCTGGTGAGAAGTGACTTCTCTAGGTGGATTCAAACTTACATCACCTCACTTTACAGTCTGAATGTATCAGGAAACATTAGCTCCCTTAAAATTAAAAGTACACTTTACTAACTTATGTTCAATAGTGTATAATCTAGATTAAACAAAAGCTCTTGGCAACTATCTCTAATCATCTATGGTATATAATAGTCGTTGATTAATAACCAAGCATCCAATAGACTAGCAAAAAATATTTGAAATCATAATACAAAAGTTTTGTTTATCTTCAATTTTATTGATTCGAATCTATTGTAAATCATGAGATGTACATTCAAATAATCCTGGGTTCGAATCTCGCAGGGGGCGAGGTCATGAATGCGCACTGCTGAGGGGTTCCACAATATGACCAAACGGCCGTCCAGTGCTTCCAGGTTTTCTATAGTGGTCTATCTTCAACTGACTCATGATCTTAACCATTGAAAAAAACTTGTTTACAAATGACTAATGTAATAGATACTTACTTGTTTCTTTTCGGAGTAAATAAACCATCATGTTTACAAAACAAAACTTTAATTTCAAGTGAATCTATTTATTTATTTTCCCTTAAGATACTTCTACATTTAGTGTAAACAAATGAAGAATTTACTTTGAATTTTTTTTGTTTACAAAGTACATATACACTTTCCTATTATAAACATACATCATGTATAGCATCACTTACTCACTTACTCATTACTAACTTACAATCAGGCAATGATGACATATACATGTTCAAACAATAAAATGGCGGTAAGAACAGTAGTAATGGGAAGAAGAACAAAAAGAAATCGCCTTATTTTCTAATGTATACAACAAGAATGTTAATGATTATGTATGATGATTCATAGAAATCTAAACAAAGATGCTTGATTTCTTTTCATTAACGGTTATTAATGATAGAGGAATTATTACTACTATTAGTAGTCGAAGTAATAATAGTAAAAGTATTCTTACTATTATATAAACGAATACAATTGATTATAAAAGATGAAAACATAGAAGAATATAATGAACTAATGTATGTATCTATATATATATGTATCTATGTCTATATGAATCAAGGTTGAAATGGTCAATGCTAGACATGAACTGTTAAACAAATAGATGTGTATAATCTATTACAATGTCTACTTATTTTCCTTAAAGGTGTAATTTGAAGAATTTATTATTGTTGTTGTTGTTGGTGTTGTTGTTTTATTTTTCACTGTATGAATTAATGTTGATTATAAATAAAAGATTTCATTTATAAAATTGTATTCGATTACTTATCAATTCTATATGTTACATGTAACATACGGTGAAGGTGTTCAGTTTAATCTCACATCAGAAAATGATTGTATTTCTTTGATATATGTATACATATACTGATAATATACGGTCTTAGTAATACATATGTATGTGTTTGTAACATGTGTAGAAGAAGAGGTTGTATAGATATGGAGAAAGAGAGAGTTAAAACTACATTGTTTTCTATGTGTATACACCAGGTGATGTTTTGAATACAGAAATGAATACAATCCTTAATAGATTTATGATGTATTAAAGCTTATTTTTACAAAATCAAGTACCAAATGAAAAAAAGAAAATAATAATGGAATTATTTAATTCAGTTTGTATGATAGAAAATAAATTGGGAAATGTAGCACCACCACAAACACATCATCATCATCCTTATCTGTAATATATTTACCATGAATGCAATAGAATAGATACCGAAAGAAAACAACATAATGAATGTTGGTGTGAATCAGGCGTCTGTTTTGTGTACAGCAACGCTTTACCTATATCTATGTGTAGATGTATAACAACCAAAAGTATATTTTTAAAAAAAGATACAACTTACAATCCACCTGTCTAATAATCTTCTCTAGTTATTGAATCATTAATGAATTTCTTGAAAATCTAATAGAAAATCTTAACTTTTATACTTTAGCCAAATTGAAAGGTACTTAACCGTTAAATAATATAACAGTTTTAGATTACATTATAACATAAAATAATAGAATATGAAAAATGTGAACTATTGAAGTCAGTGGATGAACAGATAATATTATACTTACTGTGAGATTCCCAAGTCCTATTTATAAACATTTGATTGAATAACAAACTAAGATAAACCATTTAATAATTAAATTCATGAGTCAATTGAAGCTAGATCACCATGGAAAACCTGATAGCACTGGATGCGCACTGCTGAGGAGTCTCACACTAGGACGAAACAGCCGTTCAGTGCTTCCAGGTTTTGCATAGGGGTCTAACTTCAATTGACTCATGAATTCAACTATTAAATTACTAAAACCTTCACAAAACCCCCTTTATGATAAGATAAGTCAGACAATATGCCTTAGTTACAGGTCAGTTCATTTTTATCGAATATATATATATATATATATATATATAAAGCATACTACTAGTTGTTCATATTTTATTCCTTCATGTTATATGTTAACGTTATCACTACTCTTAGTGTTTACAATTACGTATTTGGTTTTCAATTTATTTTAAATTATTAGTTCTGTTATCATTTACAACTTTATCATCCATATTCTGTTTGTATGTTACATAACCTCTTATAATGCTAAGTTGATTGTTTCGCATCCAAATCTCATTACCAGCATCAGTTCTTATAAGATTAAGAATAACCCAAATACAACCAAAACAAAGAAGTTAACAATGATATGTTTAACATCAACAAGAACCAATCAACATCGAGGTCTACAAGACAAGCTGTGAACCATATGTGGAAAAATTCTAACACTTCACTTCTACCCGAAGTTTGTGCTGATGATGTCGTTTAGAAGAACGATGAAAGCTCCACGACCATACCATCCAGCTCAGAGAACAAAACCTTTATCAAAATAACCCAAGCTGTTGACTATATCTAACCACTTTGTCAATTTTAAAATATTCTTCAGCTAAACTATCACAACTGATTGATCGCTGGGTGGTAATCAAGGTCATGTGTGTCAAGTCCTTATTAGTGCAGATCGAATGCTATCGACCATGTTGCAATGTGGCCACTAGTCTAGGTAACTCGACACTGCGTGCACTATATATTTTGAGACTAGATGGTAGTTGTAGGTAGTCGATGGGAAACCCTGGACTCGGTTTTCGTGCTACTTGGCACTCGTCAGCAAGGTGTATCTGTAACAATGTATATAACATGCAACATGGTCGATAGCATTCGATCTGCACTAATAAGGACTTGACACACATGACCTTGATCACCACCCAGTGATCAATCAATTGTGATTACATCTCATTCCTACAAGATGTCGGTCGTGGCCCGGATAGCTCAGTGGTAACGTCTCTGACTGTGAAGCTGGATGACACGGGATGGAATCCACCAGGAAGCACCAGTTCCCTCAAGATGACAGGTACACCTTGTTGACGAGTTTCAAGTAGCACGAAACCCAGCTCCTGGGTTTCCTTTCGACTACCTCAAACCACCATCTAATCAGCTAAACTATGCTTAACTTCACCCAATACTCTAAATAATAATTCATCTAATCATTAATCTTAATTGAAATTTCACACATTATTCAATGTTAATCAAGCACAAAATCTACAGATTTCATTTATTACAAGTGTTAAATCCCTTTGTTCTTCTTCATCATCATCATCATCACTTATTCAGATAAATCAATTCTATGCTTTGAGAGATACAGATGATTGAAGCTGATATTAATAGTAATAGTTCAAAAACAGCATACTGTACAAACCAAAGTATACAGTTTCTAATGTAGATCTATGAAAAAAAGATGTTAAAAATATAATATTTCATTCTTCCCCCCCCTATTTAAAACACAATTTTTTTAAATGATCATTTCACATAGATCATAGCATTCATCTGTCATTATTGAAATGAAAAAGAAACAATACAATATTTCTATTATTTGGTATCAATGTGTATATACAGCTTGTTGATAAGTATTCAATGAAATAAAAAGGTTGATAGACATCATGTGTATTTGTCTAGGTTGTCAAAGTAATAAAAAATATTCGAATCATTTCAGTAATATTAATATTAGTTGTCATAGTAATTATAGTAATGGGAAGAGGAAACGAACAATTTCCATTCAGCTTAAATAGTTATTTTAATCGAATTGTTATGGTTATTTATAAGATACGTTTTGTCGTGACCATTATTGTCAGTATTTAAAAAGAAAAAAAGACAAACATTTTGGGTAATGTCTTATAATTAGGACTAATTATTTAAATATTTGTATTGGTTAGTAAACTAATAGTGGAATCCAAGATGAAGTTACGTTTGATTGGGGACTTATTAGTAAGATGTAGCTAGATTCGGTGTTGATGTTATCATTGATACTTTAACCTTAAACCTATCTATTTAAATGTCTGCATAATATTCATCAAAGTATATGTTGAAAATCCAATGGAAATGTTGCAACATCTATTGATTCTTAGTAAGTGGCTATCACTATCCGAAGTAATCTATATAGAGGGTTTGTACAGATGAAACTTTGTTGTTTACATTGCGAACTGATATTTGTTAAACAACCATTGACAATCAAGAACGAAAGATCGGATGTTTCGTCCGGGATGGAACTCTAAAGTTATCTATAGATATTTAGTCGGATTGAATTCACTTTTTTATATCACAAATCCTCAGTAAAACATCAATATCGTTTTATTTCGATATAAGATGGTGGTTGGAAGTAGTCAAGAGGAAACCCTGGACTCGGGTTTCGTGCTATTTGACATTCTTCAGCAAGGTGTACCTGTAATCTCGAGGTAACTGATGCTCCCTAACTGATTGATCCCGTGCCACACAGCTGGTCCCGGATAGCTCAGTGGTAACATTTCTAACTGTGAAGCTGGGTGACACGGGATCGAATCCGTCAGGGAGCATCAGTCCACTCAAGATTACAGGCACACCTTACTGACGAGTGCCAAGTAGCATAAAACCTAGGTCTAGCGTTTCCTGTTGACTACGTCTAACCACCATCTTATCTCAACATAGTGTAATCGGCGTCGAGTCACCTAGACTAGTGGCCGTATTCCAACTTGGTCGATAGCATTTGATCTGCACTAAGAAGGACCTGACACACATGACCTTGATCACCACTCAGTGATCAATCAATTCTTTTATTCTAAATCACTCTAGAATAATCTAACGTAAAAATGATCCATGAATTCACTAAGAAATCACTTTCTAGGCAAAAGTAATTCTTGTAAAATCAATGTTCATCATAAAAACAATGAGAGAACTTGTTTAGGGAGATTATTTGAATCACACAGCTAAATAGAATTCAACTGTAAATTTAACAGTCTATCATTCTAATTACCGTTTAAGTTAATTACCTTCTTAAGATTCTTGTGAGATTCAAGATGAAATATTATGGTTAAATCCAAGTGGTAACATCAATATCCACTGAGAACAAGTTACAGTCAGCTAATAAGTTACAATAATGAAATAGTGCAGAGGATTTGTAGCTCAGGTGAATGATTTTGGCGGAGTTTTGTTCTCTGAGCTGAATGGTTTGGTTGTAGAGCTTTCATCATTCTTCTGAACGACATCATGAACACAAACTTCAAGACTTCTATTCAAATTTTGTGCTGACGATGTTGTTCAGAAGAACGGTGAGATCACCACAATCAAACCATCCAGCTCAGTGAACAAAATTCCGTCAATAACAATAATGGATACGCCAAATTCCTTTAAAGAATTTTAAATGATCTTTTCCGTTAGTAATTCATTTTCACAATGAATTTCAAATGATTAAACGAAAATTTATTAATTTTAAAAGCGGTCACTATTACTTACCTCTAATATTTGATGGGAATCGACTATGAGATAATTTTCCAGTTGTTGTAATGGCTGACATTTTTAAATTTTTATCATGAAATGAACCACTGGAATCATTTGAACTAATTGAACCCATTATTGATGGTTCCATTCGAGTTCCCATTCGTGGTAATCTAGTTGACATATTATGACTATTATCTTTGGTAGATAATAATGGTGATCCATTTGAAATTCCTTCATTAGATTTATTAATTATACATTTAGTATTTTGTAAGTTATTATTTCCAGTTGAATAATAACAATTTTCTGTTGGTTGATTTGATATTTTTGACGATAACAATGATGAAGATGACGTTGTTGTTGTTGCTGTTGAAATGGATGATGAATTGATCCCTGAATCTGTCGTTGATGTTATCATCTTCGTTGACATTGTTTTTGGTTGTACAATAGAATCATTTCCTTCATATTGACTAGCACAATTACCAACAATAGATAACGGATATTGTATTCTATTATATTGCAATTTAGCTTGTACTAATTGTCTACAATGTACCGCTAACGATTGCATTAAACGTCCAAGTTGTACAAGTTCTTGATCGATTGGATCAATTGAATCGTAATCACTGAATACATCTGATGGAATTGTTAATCTATGATCTAATGATGTAGCATCTTGTGATAATGAATTACCAGATGAGATATTGTTTAAGTGATCATTTTCACATGTTAATTTAGTTATTTGTGCCAATCCATGAATAAAATTGGTACGTTGTTGTTGTTGGTATTGATGATGGTGGTGATGTTGATCATTATCAATTTCCTACATTTTTTTTAAAACAAGCAAAGTTTACGTTTTTTTAGGGAAAGAAAGTTTGTACTAGTAAGAAACTAGCCAAACAACTTGGCCAATTCAAAATGAAAATCAGTTACAAGGGTTTCAAAGAAGCTATTACCCATCAAACGAGAGTTCAGAAATTATATCACCTGTGAATTAGTAATACAGATAGTCAAAAAAATGTTTTTTGAATAATTTTTAGTGGCCCGATATCTGACTTCTATTGGATCGTACGAATGATCGTTATCGAGTGATTGCTGTCGAAATATACATCCTGACTACCCTCATATATAATCATCGACTTAAATCGCGTTGGTGAATAACGGAATTAAACAGGTCAAATATGAGGATAAACTTTTGAATATGTATATTTTGTACAATCGTTGATCAGAACCCACAGACGATCAAAGGAGAGAGCAAAGCGAAACAGATTGGAGCTGGAAATGTTAGCTAATTTCTTTTAATTAAGCGTTACTCATTATTTATAGTCAAATCGAATCGAAGCGAAACGAAGCAAGGCAAAGCAAGTCAAGGCGAGTAGAAGCAAATAATTAACAAGGTCAAAATATAACTCAAGAGGAATGAATAATTTGTTGGTCCAGAACTAAAATAACCTATGTAGGCTCGACATGAGGCCAGCTATTACAAATGTACGCAAAATATAAACTGTATGCAACTGTTATTTCCAGACAGCATGAAATAGGGGTAAATAGTTTGAATTTACTTCCTTCATGTTTGTTTACCAGTTCAACTGATGTAATGCAAAGAGTGACATTGTGTGTAAAATTTAACAATTTCTTTAAATTTACACTGTTTGTCTTTGTTAACAAAAGGATCATTAAAATATTCGGAGTTTTCAATTTTCTCACTTAATGGTCATATCATACCAAATTTTAGGCAAAGAAAAATGATTAAGACATGAAGTACAAAGCTTGTAGATTTCATGAATTATGAAGAAGTTTATCAGGGATTAGTTTGATTTTTCGGTGATACTTGTCACAGACTAACCATAAATAAAATATCACTCTATACTAGAGGTGATTTGATGCGTGTCTGGTTTTAGTATTAGGTCTCTCCGTAATGTATACTCACGATCCTGTTAAGAGGCTAACCCAAGGCGTTCAGCTGTAGTAGTGAATGACACACTCATCACCTACGATATTAAATAGTCCTTGAGGTGAATGTGAAACATTGAATACCAACTCAGTGGTTGAATGATAACGATCTCGTCATGCGATATGAAGGTCTTGATTCCCACCCATTAGTGGTTTTGCATAATCACAGCTGAAGAGTCCTATACTAGGACGTAGAGGCAGTTCAGTGATCTCTGCTTTTCATTGATACTGAAGTTTACGTCAATCTGCGTCAAATACTGTCAACATTTCATGACTAGTTTTTTATACTTTGTAATGTGTATAAACATGCAGATTTGAGGTCGAGTTTTCTTCAGTGTAATGGATAATTCACATTCTTTTAGTAAAAATAATATAAGAACTTATTCATTAGCTGAAATAAATGATGAAGATGCTACATCCGAAGACTTAGATATATCATATATTTATAATTAGTTGAAACCAAAAAAATACAGGGAAGATTAAAGAAAGAGTTTGAATTGAGCTTAAGATGAGTAAAACAACACATAGAGATAAATGGATACTATTAAAATGTTGATCATGTACAAAAATTGTTTAATTTCTACGGTTTTGTAGATTCCTTGTAAATCAGGAGACATCAAACAACTGTTTTTAGTTTTGCTTGAAACTCTCCGACTGTTGAAATCCTTGATTCCTACATGAAGAATAAGTGAAAAAACCATAAACCGTGAACCGTATCAAGTCGCAAGTCGGATAGTTACTCATTAATGAAGTTGTATGAAAACTATGTTGGTGTTTTTCTGTGAAAGATAATACCATTAATATATATATTTAAGGAAACATCTACGTCAGTGTATAGATTCACCATACATCAATACATGGTCATTCAAAAGAGACTTTATCAGCGTTCATGGCGTTTCAACATTTTATTAAATGTGTTAAACTGGACATTTTTGTTCAGCTATATATATAAAAATTAAAATATAAACTTTATGTGCTTGAGTCAAGACTATAATTTATGGACGAACCAATCAGATTTAATATGATAGTTCTTGAATTTTGGCGAGAAATTTATTCATCCATATAGCTATAGTTAAATAGCATTTCCTTTTTTGCATTATAGCTGATGTCATTTCGTGATAAAAACACTAAGTCTAATTCCTAACCCTAACATCCCAATTCCTTACACTAATTTATACCCACATCTAAATCGAGTAAGTAATAGATATTCTCATAGTATTTGGCTTTTATTGTAAAAATGAAGTATATCAGTGTAAGGTCAATCATTAAATATCAAATATTTACATTATTCATCTATTTATATATATCATATATTTATATTGGTTGAAGTTAAACATTAACACCGTTGAATGCCGGTTAGCTCAGTGGTCCAGAGACTAAGCGTTCGTGCGCGAGACCAATAGGTCCTGGGTTCGAATCCTGTGAGTGGGGTCTTGGATGTGCCCTACTGAAGAGTCCCATACCAGGACGAAACCACCATCTAGTAATTCCAGGTTTTCCATAGTGGTTTAGCTTCAATTGACTCATGAGTTCATCTACTAGATTCATATATTTATGTCCAAAAGTTTCATTTTGTAAACACTTTTCTTGTCTATAAATAAAGTCAACAGTAATTACAATCACATTCTAATTGATTTACTTCATGGAGAATTATATAAACTAATCGACTGTTAGATATATCCACTCAATTATCATTTCTTAAGTTTATAACATTCAAATATGAATATAGTTGAACAAATTAAAATAACTTTAAAATACATACTTGTTCTGAACTTTCTTCTGTACGTGCACTTTCATCAGTTGTTCTACCCATACCAGAATCTTGATCAGGTCGTTTATAAACCTTGAAGTTAATATAAATATTAATAAACAATTTATATTCAGTTAACAACAATTGTAATAATCCGAAATACATCAAAAATCATTTCAATTAATCCTTAATTATTTTTATACAACATGGATGCGCACTGCTGAGCAGTTCCACAACAGCTTTCGAACAAACAAGTTTATTCATTCTTCTTGAGTTACGTTTTGACCTTGTTAGTTATTCACTTAGCAAGCCTAACTGTTTATATAGGAGCGTGTGTGTATGCGATTCTTATTCTATTCATCACATGTCTGTAGCTTATTTTCGTATGAATATTAATATTGATTAACGCTTGATTAGGTGGAGTTGGCTCACACACCTCCACTGCTCATACTTTCGTTTCGCTTCGCTTTCTCTTATTCGCTTCATTCACTGCGATTCTCTGTCTGTTTCGATCAACGAGTGTACAAAATTTACATATCTAAACATCCATACTCGTATTTATCTTATTTAATTCCGTTATTCGCTAACGTGGATTAAGTCGATACTTATATAAGAGGATAGACGAAATGTGCATGTTTCAATGACAATCAGTCATACAATCTAATTGAAGGCAAATTGGGTCATTAAAATATCATTTGTGAAACTGTTACGAAATTCATCAAGCATTATACAACAATGTGTAATCGCAATTGTGGTAGATATACGATTTGAATTGATTTGACCTTGAGATGAGAGCGTAATCATATAACCCAGTAGCCAACACTATCAAATTCAATCAATTTTGACAACTATTCCCTCTCATCAGTAGTGACTCGCTCTCGCTCGCTCGCCCGCTAGAGACAGCAGAATATAGTATACTAATACGATACTCGAACGTATAGAACCCCGCAGTCGCAAGTCAGAAGACAGAAAAAAGCTCGAGAAGTGTTTGTTGGGTAAGAATCAAGGTGTACAGAAAATTATGGGTATTTATAGATATTAGCGTTTGTTATTTCTAAAAAGCTCCATCACTTTTTGACTGAATGGAACCTCTTTGGCTCCTTTAAAACTTCTTGAGGCCGCGCCTTAGTTCTCGGAAGCCGTCCCAAAAACAACAATTAAAATAAATCATTCTGTTAATTTTTGCGTTGCTTATCATCCCAGATTATGAAACTGGGTAGATTACATGCAAAGTTTTCAAGAAGAACCAGATCTTATTATAAGTGTTAAGTAGCACTAAACTTAAGTCGAGAAGTTTCCTATTGAGTATATGTAAACCATCTGATATTTCAACATAGTGTACATGATATCTAATCACTTAGTTTACTGACCACATGGTCTATGTGCCATCAAACGCTCTGGTACGGCCGAGAGTGGAGAGAGTCAGCTCTCGCTCTCAAAATGCTCTAAAGTGGTCACGTGCATACGACCACTTCCAGGAAATCTTACTCCCTGACTTCTCGTGGCTGGAGTATTGTTTACGAAATTGCGGAAACGAAAAGCGAATATCCAGTGCTTTAACCGAATTGGTGGACATGGAGGTTCCACCTAGGGGAGTTGGAAAACACTAATTCCAAACCAACAGTGCATATGGGCCTCAGGATCCTAAGGAAACAAATGGCGTATGAACCGATTGCTGGTCACCAGCTACCATGGGACTGTATCTCCTGACGCTGCTCTGCTGCCTTGTGGGTCAGACCTTTAGGTCAAAGGCCTGGAGTGTGGCATTCCAAGAAAACTACCTACTTTAGTTTGGGCACCCGGGCAGTATCCCAACCCTCACATAAATCCAATGATTTATGTGGCGCATATCTATTCGGTGCCTCCTTATACCAGTGTTTATGAGTTTAAATAAATAAATGTTCTAAAACAGCTTGATTATACTAATTCTTTAACGAAATATTAAGAAACCTAATGATGTCTTGTTCTTGTCAATAAATTCATCAAACTATAATTTTTGATAAAAATGGATCAATTTTAATTGATGAAATAGTTTTCTAGATCGTTTATGTAAGGTGACCTGTGAATTCAATTCATTTCTCATGTTTGTTATTTTGTTCATTCAATAAATGTTTATGACAGTTTTAGAATTAATATATCGTCTGGGATTAAAACATATATTATACACTAATATGATTGAACAAATCGCTGGTCGGCGGAGATTAAATGTTATCTTTTGTCTCACTTAGTAATGTTCGAATATATATATAGGGAGAGAGAGGAGCGATAAGTTCTTATTGACCTGTTGGGTGGTTGATGATAGTCTGTAGAAAAATCTGTTTGACATATTCGTTGACATTCATTCGTGAAGTATACTCACAGTCTTTAAGAAAATAATGCTTTGTTCAATGGGATTTAATATTACATCATTCATTTTCACAGTTTGAGATATTACCATTGAGCCTTTGTATCAACTTCATTTAACTGTAAACATAATGTTAATGATATCACAGAAAATAATAGAATGTTATCAGAAGGGGTTTTGTGGAGATTTTAGAAATTTCAATAGTTAAAATCATGAGTCAGTTGAAGCCAGACCCCTTGGAGTTCTAGTGAGAAGCCATGACCAGTAGAGTTCAACCAGGTCTCTTGTGAGATATCAGCTCACCGAAGACAATCGAATGCGGTGGCACAAATTCGCGGATTGGTTGAAGTTAGTCATTAACATCGTTGGATGCCGGTCGACTCAGTGGTCTAAAGTTTGGGCATTCGCTCACGAGACTGATAGGTCCCGTGTTCAAATCTCTCGAGGTGGGAACGTGGATGCGCACTGCTGAGGAGTCCCATACTAGGATGAAACGGCCGTCCAGTTCTTCCAGGTTTTCAATAATGGCCTAGCCTATTACCACAATCTCCACAAAACCCCCATTCTAATAGTTCTATATGAATTAGTTTTAGAAGATGTGATCAAGGATGACAATAAATACTCAATAATTAAAACTTTACTAATACCAAGACTGTAACTTGGTGACATGTAAACTACGGTTAGGAACAATTATTTCCTTCTTTCTAAAATAATGTAGGTAATTTTCATTTTGCTGACAAAAATTTATTATCAGTTATAACAATGTATACTATTTTCTTTCGCTACTTTATATTAAACATAGAGAAATTATTGAATTGATTCGTGTTTAGCGCCTTATGTAGTACTATGATGTCGATAGACATAAGTAGTATGTAATACTAATTGGAAGTAGAAACCCTGTCAACAGAAAGCTAAAAAGATAGAGTTGAAGAGAATAGAAGAGAAAATAGATAAGAATTATGGACTGGAAGAATCATACAGAATGTAAAAGACAAATGATGGAAATTTGCAAATAAAATATTCAGTGTATGATTCTTGTATTTTATCAATAAAATGGTTGTCCCCCAGCTGTTATCTCGACGATAACAATACCATTTTTATCAGTAAGGGGTTTTGTGAAGATTTTTAGAAGTTCCAGTAGTTGAATTCATGAGTAAATTGAAGCTACTCCACCATGGAAAACCTGCAAGCACTGGACGGCCGTTTCATCCTAGTATGGGACTCCTCAGCAGTGCGCATCCACGATCCCGCCCTTCGCGAGATTTAAACGCAGGACCACTGATCCGACCGGCATCCAACGATGTTAATGTCTAACTTCAACCAATCCACGAATTTGCGCCACCGCATTCCATTTTCTTTAGTGAGCTGATATCTCACAACAGACGTGGTTGCACTCTACTGGTCATGGCTTCTCACTAGAACTCCAGGAAATGCCTCTTCAATTCATTTCATTGAACATAATACCCTTAAAAATGATATGATCTATTCAATAGTTTAACTTGTTGAATTCACTAATATGTTTATTGATATCAATATATATATATATGTATCTATGTGTTTATGTATGATCGTAATTAAAACGAAAATTCTCTATAGATATACAAATAGGTGAGTCATAAAATATCATTTCTTGATACGTCTACAAACTGGTTCGTAAACTTTAATATATATTTTATCGTATAATCATAACAATAATAATAATAATAATGGTTCTGACATTTGACGGGAAGTCAATAATCATATTTACATAGACATAGAGAAATTAGATGTTGATGATTAATAATACTAGTAGTATTGGTCATTGGTAATAATGAGAAAAAGAATAACAAATAAAGAATAATCATGAATTTTAAGTTCATGGTAATATGAAATCAATCGGCATGAAAATTACTGAACTGACTAATATCAGATTGAAAAGTAAATAGAAATGAAAATAAAAGAATAAACTTATCTCGTCTTATTGTAAATAAATCTTTATTGTATGAAAGTATATATGTAGTGTGGTAACATAGTGAGTGAATGAAAGAGTAAGCAAAGGAGGAGGAGGAGGAGGAGGAGGAGGAGTATGGCTACCTGCTTGAATATCTATGCTACCTGTTCCTGCCATCTAAATATTTCAACAAGTTATCTGTTTCTTGGTTTATTCTAACATATTATGTCTATTAATCACATAACCAATTCAGGTGACCTTTTGTTTTACAAGTTACAAAAAAGTACATTTACGACCTTTGGCTGTTAAAGTTACAGAAAGAAGAAAACTACAATCAGAGTCATCGTGTTGGTGGGCAATGTGCATTGAAAGGAAAGAATATCAATCAGATGTTGATTTCTGAATCACTAATATCTAACTGAAGATCACTCAATATTTATTGTCAGGATCGATTAAGAAATGAGAAAAGGAAACGTGTCGAAATATACTCCTGGAGTTCTAGTGGGAAGCCGTTACCAGTGGAGTTCAACCAGGTCTGTTGTGAGATATCAGCTCACTGAAGACAATGGAATGCGGTGGCGCAAATTCGTGGATTGGTTGAAGTTAGACATTAACATCGTTGGATGCCGATCGGATCAGTGGTCTAGTGGTTAAGTGCTCGCGCGCGAAACCAGTAGGTCCTGAGTTCGAATCTCGTGATGGGCGGGGTTGTGAATGCGCAGTGTTGAGGAGTCCCGCACTAGGATGAAACGGCCGTCCAATGCTTCCAGGTTTTCCATAGTGGACTAGCTTCAATTGACTCATGATTTCAACCTGTGAAATATTTTATGCTGATAATTTTGCATTGTACTAAAAATAAAAGTGAGTAAAGCCATAATAATAATAAAGAACAAGTGATTTAGAATAGAAAAGTAAGCAAATTAGTGAAATAAAATGAATCAATCTAAACTTGCTCAAAATTCTGAACATCTTATATCACTGCCAACTTCGTTGATCAGTTTTTACAATGGTCATATTTAGATAAGTGAATGAAAAGACTGAAAGACTAGAATTCAAGATGTCATAGGAAAATGGAGATTCTAATAATTTGTTATATGACTGACTATTTAGCTTTCTGAAAAAAAAGGAGTCGACTAGTTATATGGTTGAAGGTATTCAACAGGAGACCTTTCTTGCCCTAATTTTTTTAAGGGGGGATTTTGGACTCGTCATTGATTCCCTCAAAATTACTTGTACATCTTATTGACAACTGCCAACTAATACGAAATTTGTGTCAAGCAGGATTTTCTATTGACTATCTCAAACCACCTGAGATCTCAACACAATTCATCTGGTGTTAAATCATAAATTAGTGAACTGATGACCTTGTAACCTTGTTGATAAAATTCAATCATCACTAAAGAGCTATAATGGGACAATGATCACTATTTAATTGTAACTGTGTGATACCTCTGTGTGGTACCAATTCGTAGATTTCGGCTTCATTCTGTTTAAAGATCAATTGCAGAAATTATTTCCAATCTTTTACAACCAAAATATTAGTAAAGACCATTGAATTTTCTAGAAGAAATAATACTGAATTCAATTATATGGGTAAGAAATGAGATTTTCTCAGAAAAAAAAAGATACAATCCTTATATAACTAAACAAAGTCAGTGATGTAACACTACACAAATTAAACTATCCCCACAAATCATCTACATTGTAAGGTTCATTCATTGAGTTCTATCAAGAAGCTGTAATTCCTGAATTTTAAAAGCAAATATCACCCATAGCAATGGATAATGATAAGACAATATCATTTATTGATCGATGTTGTAAATGTAAACCAATGGTTATAGGATTAATAGTTCAAATATCAAGTAGTAGATACAATCTTATCTAATAACTTTGTTTAAACAAAGCAAGAACGATAATATTTACAGAATATGATTCATTTAATGAATCTGATGGTTAGATTTCTTGTAAACTACTTTCAACTTACTTGTGATTGTTGAACGATTCACTTGAACATTAAGTTATTGATCGGAATAATTTAAACATAGTATCTTGTATGTATAATTACATTGAATGAAGCGAAATATAATTAATTCGTGACACTCTGTAAATATTATTATTCTCGTTTTATTTATATTTATAAACAAATTCCATTTTATAATAGTTCAGTATTCAATCGAGAAGTAGTGACCAGTTGAGTTCAACCAGGTCTGTTGTGAGATAGTAACTCATTGAAGACAATGGTGGATGTGTCGCTCAAGTTCATGAATTAGTTGAAGTTAGACATTAACACCGTTGGATGCCGGTTGGCTCAGTGATCTAGTGGCTAAGTGCTCGCGCGCGAAACCAGTAGGTCCTGGGTTCGAATCTCGCAGGGTCAAGGGCGTGGATGCGCACTGCTGAGGAGTTCCATAATAGGACAAAATGGCCGTCCAGTGCTTACAGGTTTTCCATAGTGGTCTAGCTTCAACTGACTCATGATCTTAACCATTGAAATTACAATAATTAATTCACAAATGCACATTTCTAACGAGTTTCGAAATAGAGACGAAACATTCATTTACTATTTCCTAGTTTTTAGTAGTCTTTTTTTCTTTTTAAAAACAAAAAACAGCAACAACAACAACAGTACAGTTTTTCATACAAAATTAGGAAGAAAAAAAGTGACAACAATAAAAAGAACAACAAAAAACAAACTTCGATAATGTAACAAGAAAACGAAGATTATCAGAACTGTGTGATATATTAGCGCAATGCATTTCGAACAATCTGATCACACATTATATACTTGTTGAGAACATTTATATATAAAAATAAAAAGTCAAAGGAAGGAGCAATCGTGATCTCAAAATTAGGGTATGTGAACATGTACCAAAATGGTTTCAGGAACAAATAGAATCAAGTGACCCAATAAGAATAGAAGATAAACATCCATCATCTTTTATTACTAAACATATACTTGAAACAGGCTATAAGATTGATCTTAACTCGGCTTTTGTGGTAATGTACAAAAGTGTAAAAAGGCATATACTAAGGTTATTGAAGCCTTAACCATACGAAAATTCAAACCCTCTTTGTTTATTCAAAAACAGTTTGTTCTCCCCTTAAACCTACTGCGGTAATATTACCTTATTAACCAGAGTGATGAGGTTTCGAATTGTTTTCACATTATTATTTTCTTTATTATCCTTGTCTCCTTTTACCCTCCATTTCTAGTCTAGTAGATCAGATGGTGGTTGGAAGTAGTCAACAGGAAACCCTGGACCCAAGTTTCGTGCTACTTGCCACCCGTCAGTAAGGTGTACCTGTCGTCTTGAGGGAACTGGTGCTTCCTGGCGGATTCCATCCCGTGTCATCCAGCTTCACAGTCAGAGACGTTACCACTGAGCTGTCCGGGTCGCAACTGACCTCCTGTAGGAATGAGATATAGTCACAATTGATTGATCATTGGGTGGTGATCAAGGTCATGTGTGTCAAGTCCTTATTAGTGCAGATCGAATGCTATCAACCATGTTGCAATGTGGCCACTAGTCTAGGTAACTCGACACTGAGTGCACTATTGTGAGATTAGATGGTGGTTGGAGGCAGTGTCGACTCACCTAGACTGGGGGCCACATCTCAACATGGTCGATAACATTCGATCTGCACTAAGAAAGACCTGGCACACATGACCTTGATCACCACCCAGTGATCAATCAATTGTAATTAGCCTAGTAGATCATTTATTTTTATATATAAATGTTCTTAACAAGTATATAATGTGTGATCAGATTGTTCGAAATGTATTCCGCTAATATTCATCATCACATTAGTTCTGATAATCTTTGTCTTCTTATGACACTATCAAAATCCATCAAATGGGACTAATCGATATAATTTTTTAAAAAAACATTATGTAAGGAAGATTAGCTCAGTGATGAGTTCTGTTTTCGGCGAATTCATTTTCACGAATGGTAACCTTCTTATTCACTTCCACAAACTTGACAGAACTTAATGAGTTTCTGCGTTATTCTGTCAAATTTGTGGAAATGAATTCAAAGGTTACCATTCTTGAAAATGAATTCGCCGAAAGCAGAACTCTTCACTGAACTAATCTTTTTTACTTCAAAACAAACGAACAAAAAACAAAAACTTACAGGATAATCTGTACAATTCTTATTGATAGTTGATATAGATAATTCATTATTTGTATAAAATTCATTGATTGATTCATTTTTTATTGTATTAGATTGAATTGTATTTAATGTCTTAGTGATTGTTGAATTTATATTGATTATTGTATTATTCTCTTTTAATGTTTGACATTTTTCACGTGCAATCAATAATGTTACCCTTTTTTTACTTTGTTGAAATAAATCAATAACATGTTCTCTTGATTTAATTCGTTTACCATTGATACCTAATATTTGATCACCATTAATAATTTGTCCACATTGAGCAGCTAAACTATCATATTCTAACTAAGAAAATAAAGAATGATTTTGGAAAAAAAAATTATTATTATTTAATAGATTGAAATCATGAGTCAATTGAAGCTAGACCATCATGGAAAACCTGGAAGCACTGGACGGTCGGTTGTGAGATATCAACTCACTGAAGATAATGGTATACGGCGGAGTGGTTGAAGTTAGACATTAACACCGTTGGATGCCGGCTCAGTGGTCTAGTTGGTTAAGTGACTGGCGCGGAACTGATAGGTCCTGGGTTCGTATCTCGCGGGGTGCGGGATCGTGGATGCGCACTGCTGAGGAGTCCCACACTAGAACGAAACGGCCTTCCAGTGCTTCCAGGTTTTCCATGGTGGACTAGCTTCAATTGACTCATGATTTCAACCTGTGAAATTTCTAAAATCTCCACAAACCCTTCTCATATTATTTAATAATTAATATTACATAGTAACATTTTTAGTTGGATATGTTGCTCAATGTTGTAAATTAAAATTAGATAGTAGAATTGTTGAATGTAGGTTGACTCAGTGGTCTAGAGGTTAAGGCGTTTGTGTGCGAGACCAATAGGTTCTTGCGAGGTGGGATCGTGAATGAACACCGTTGAGCAGTCGTTACAATAATAATTCAGCTGGTTTTAGTGTATTTTTTCCCTGAGAAGGACTGGTTTATCGGAAAGAAACCGTTTTTGGCATATTTTATGTAAAAAAAGGAATTAACTTAATCATTAACATAAAATCCTACAAATTTTAGTTTCAGCTTCTTGATTTATTGTGGATTTTTCGGAGATTATTTTAACTTGTAAGTTATATTCACCATGAAATGACATCAGTTAGGGTACAATGGAAATATAGAGAGCAGTAGATAGATGTTTAGTTTTAATATGAAACTTCTCAACAATGTCTCAAGTATTACCATGGACCTTCAGATCTCGATAATTTAGGCTACTGATATTATATACATTATTTCATATTTCTAATTTCATTCAAATAACAAAGAACAGCAACGACCACCCAGTTATCACTGTTGATATTAAGTGACCATCACACTATACTGCAAATTAATTCCAGTTGAAAATGTAGAGTATTGAATACTAAATCAGTGGTTTAAAGATAAGGTGCAGGTTCTGCGTTCCATCCTCTATGAGGTATTAGTTTCTAAAAGCTTTTAAATACAGGGATAGAGAAGTTTTAATGGATGATTAACGTATTGTTATATATTGTTGTACGTCCGTTGTTAAACTAGGAAATTAAGGTGATTTTACAAAACGAAAATGCTCAGATGTAAACTTGACATACGACTACTTTCATTCACTTTCAAAATCTCTAAGTGATTGAAATCGACAATAAGAATAAAACTATAATAACTCGATATTAGCAGCTTTTTCCTGCATTATAAGCGAAAATGGATGATGGCTAGCAGTGGAATCCAGGACGTGTTTTTCGTTTTATTTAGAACTCAGAATTTGGATATACCTGCATCCCAGAGTTGATGTTCACTCCGAGACTCAAACCCAGTACCATTCGCTTCAAGCGACGTCATGTTACCCACTCTGGAATGCAGACACATCCAGCCTACGAGCCCGAAATAGGAAGAAACGCTTGTCCTGGATTCCACTGCTAACTACTATCCATATTTGGTTAGAATGTTTTTGACCTAAGGCAATATTGAGGCAATACGCACAGGATGCACATATGCAAATGAAAGACTGATCAATTACAGTCCTAAACATCAATCGGAAGATTTAAACAAATAATACAAAATGAAATTAAGCTTCTTCTAAATTCATATTAACATATTATTGAACAATATTACCTTCTAGTCGGTTTAAAAAACACACAATGATGTAGAAACCCATTAAGAAAATATATGTAGTACTTAAATCTAACCAATTCAAGGGTAGAAAATGACAAATTCGTCTTATTTTAAAAGTAGGAGAATTACTTTGAATTTCCATTGTGAGAATAGTCCTAAGTTTTGTAGCATTATAATGGTTGGTTCTAATGAAGAGAAAGATGCAAATAGGTATGTGGTTACGGTGGAATTCAAGGTTAAGGATGTTAAAGTTTATAGACGCATGTTTATAACTATCATAAAACTGGTGTAAAAATATTGAAAAATAGTCATATTTACGTTTACTCATAAAACAAGACCGTCAAATAAAACTCTTGTCATTCTTCTTTAATTTAACAGTACCTAAGACCTTTCTAGTATTTCAAAGATAATTATGGACAACTATTTCCTCTACAGTAGCCTCTACATCAATAAGCCTCAACACACACAAGGGGAAAACCAAGGTCCTCAAATACAACACGAAGAACACCAACTCAATCATACTTGATGGCGAAACTCTGGAAAAAGTGAAATCCTTCATGCACCTGCAAAGCATCATCGATGAACATAGAGGATCAGATGCAGACGTAGAGGTGAGGATTGACAAAGTAAGGACAACATCCCCACGATAAAAGAAAATATGGAACTCAAAACAACTGGCAACAAATATCAAAGTCACAATTTCTAATACGAACATCAAGACAGTTAGTTCTACTGTACGGAGCTGAAACTTCGAGAAATAATACAACCATCATCAAAAAGGTACAAGTATTTATAAATAGTTGTCTAAGCAACATATTCAACATCCATTGGCCTGATACCATCAGTAACAGCCTAGCCTACTGTGGGAGAGAACAAACCAGCTTCCAACTGAAGAGGAAATTAGGAAAAGATGTTGGAAGTGGATAGGACATACATCAGGTAAATCATCAAACTGCATCACGAGGCAAGTGCTAACCTGGAATTCTGAAGAGAATCAGAAAAGCAGAAGGCCAGATAACACATTACTCTGGTGAATAGAATCAGATATGAAAAGAATTAATAACAACTGGAAAGAGATGAGAAGGATTGCCGAGGATAGGTTTGGATGTAGAGTGCTTGTGGGCGGCCTGTGCTCCTTCACGAGGAGTAACAGGCGTAAGTAAGTAAGTAGTTTCCTCTACATTTAAATGTATTGAGCAATGCACAATTACTATCGTATATTAAATCAAACTCAAAACCATGTAATGTGGCAGGAATGAGATTACTTACGAACAAATATTATCGACTGTATACTAGTTCCACTGAATAAAAAAATATTTCGATTACGTTCAATATATAATGGATAATAAATATCTAAGTGAGTGGGAAGTATACAATCGAGAGATCACGATCAGGACAAAAGAAAACCGATGACGAATTGAAGTAATCGGGAAGCCTTAATAAAACCTGGTTACGCGTAATTTGCCACTCATCAATAAAGAATATCTGTGGTCTTGAAGCAACTAATACATCTTATGTGGTTCAAGTCGCCTTCACCTAGTATCACAGTTAAGAACATATCTGAGGTGATATTTGTCCAGCTATTAGACTCATGTTAGAATGAAAGATTTACACTAGCTCATAGTCTTGGTAAAACTTCTTCAATCAAGCTATAAATTTATAATTACAATCACTGACATGTCTTAATTAGTGTAAAACAATGCTCTGTAAGTTCCTATCGGTTTCCTTCGATCATCGAAAATGGAAACAGTATCCATGGTATGAAATCACTTAGATCGGTTAATATCTTGTAACATAATCGAGAGAATTTATTCACAGCTAGGAAATACGAAGTCATAACATTTATTAGTACTCAACGATTAGTCTGAATTTATATTTCTCATCACATATGATTTATAATTTAATTACTTAAATGTAATTTAAGTGAGCTGTTTATAGAATATAATATGATCCATATACTGTCAGTTACAATGAACACATCACGCAGAAAAATGGAGATAGACATTAGAAGAATGAACTAGAAAGGAAGGCCCAGGACAAAGTGGGTTGAAGAATGCTGGTCAGCGGCTTATGCTTCATTCGAGGGTAACAGGGGTAAATAAATATGTAAGTAAGTACTGTTAATTACATTCATTTATATTGAAGAAATCTATATACTATACACAGATATAAATCGATAAAACTTAAGTACTTTAAAATGTAAACAGTTTTGACAAGGAACTTGTAAAAATAGCTGACATCTTTAATCAAATATAAACTTGTCAAAAATGTATCAAGGAGTAAACATCTTGATTTAAATGAAACTGTATAAGTTGACAGACAAAGTCATTCCTTCATTGAAAGATAAATATAAAGATGACATGTTTAGCTAAAGACTAATTATCATCGGTTAAATTTATTGTATCGAAATGATTATCCACACATTATTCTAAATTTTTTTTAATTATTACAATTTATTGAAAACTTTGGGGAGTTTTTCAGAAACTGAGAAAAGACTTCAAAGATTTTAACCAACCAGTGCTTAATGGGAAACCTCTAGAAGTTCCTAGGAATACGGTAGATTATATATTGCAATTCAACAGGATAGTTATTAAATTTCAATGGTTAAGATCGAGTCAGTTGAAGCTAAACAACCACGGAAAACCTGGAAGCACTGGACGGCCGTTTCGTCCTAATGTGGGACTCCTCAACAGTGCTCATCTATGACCTCGCCCCATGGGTTCGAATCCGAACTGACTCATGATCTTAACCATTGAGGTTACTATAATATCCACAAAACCCATCTGATATTAATCAACATATGCTCACTAGTGACTGGCTTCGAGAGATGTATCTTGGGGTTCTAGTGAGAAGTAGTGACCAGTGCAGTTCAACCAAGTCTGTTGTGAGTTAGTAACTCACTGAAGACAATGGTGGATGTGTCACTCAATTTCGTGGATTAGTTGAAGTTAGAAATTAACATCGCTGGATGCCGGTCAGCTCAACGGTCTAAAGGTTAAGTTTTCGCGCGTAAAACCAGTAGGTCCTGTGTTCGAATCTCGCAGAGGTCGAGGTCGTGGATGCGCACTGTTGAGGAGTCCCACGGTAGGGCGAAACGGCCGTCCAGTGCTTCCAGGTTTTCTATGGTGGACTAGCTTCATGATCTTAACCATTAACATTACTATAATATCCACAAAACCCATCAGTTATTAAATTTGTTACTAAATTTAACTTATCTGAATTACCAAGATTACTTATAGATCTCTAAATACCCTTGTTTTTCGTAGATAGACTAATTTCCTAAGTAAAGCTTTTCTATATATTTCTCTATTTCCCTCTATCATTCAGAATTCAAGTTCAGAAATAGGAAGCAGTTAGGAATTCCTTTATTATCAGGTGTTTAAGCGCCAAGTTTATCAGCACTTACTTGATTAACCTAGATCAAAACATTCATCATAGATCTGATAGTTTAAATGTTTAATATTCAATAAATTGAGTCGATAAACTTTATGACCGAGTATTATAAGGTATTTGGATTAGTTACTATACAATCGTCAATTTCTGTGCATTCATCATTGAAGGACGATCTTGTTAACACAAGATTTCATCAATTAACCTGATAATTATTACAATTAATTGTTAACGGTAATGAATTTATGAAACTTAGAGGTTTAAGATTGATAATGATTGAAGTATTATTCCGCCGATTATGTTTCGTTTATTAATTGCTTACAAGTACAAATGAACAAAAGCGACCTGGAATCGCTAATAAAAGGAATGATAAATTTTAAAATGTAACCGCAAATGTACATTGGACAACCATCTGTATGACAACATTCAAAAGTAGAAGTTTTGAAAATTAATATGACGTAAGTAATGTGATAATGGAGATGAATTTGACGATATATATGAACTACAATCTCCAACAACTGACTCATTTAGAAAATTCAGTAAAAATTCCAAATACCACTGATCTCACAATGCAGAAAGGAAATAAAACACTAACCCTAGAACGTTTTATTATTTATTTCTGATTACCATCAAGTGTCCAGAAAGATATCTGCTTTACAAACAAATGTTTGATCACTGTGGTTCTATCCAGTAAAGATAATAATATTATTAATATATGGTATACCAGTTTAAGTATGTTTTCCAACGGAGTTAGTAAAATTGTAACAGTTTGGCTTAGTATGAAAATAACTACCGAATTTTTATACATAGTATAGTTGGCGAAGATATTTACTTGAACATTCGGTAAAAACTTGTATTGCGTCAAAACATATTTAACCTAACAAACTGATTGCATGCCATATATGAGGCTAGTAGGTTAAAATGTTGATAATACGAATTGAATGAAGTTAGTAACGTTGAACATTTAAGTCATGATTTAGTAGTCTAAGGGGTAAAGAGATCATTGTTAAAGCCTGAAATCAATGTGTTTAACACCTAGTATAGCAATGGAAGTTCATTAATGAGAAGTCCAATACTAAGAAGAAATACCTATTTTATGGTTACTAGTTTTAAATAGATGCTGAATTCTGTTTACTATTTAAAAATTCTTAATAGATTATTCTGTTTATAAATTAGTTTTCTGCTTGCTAATAGAATGCATTTAAAGATTTCAGTCGTAAAGAAACATTTTCTTGTATTGGAAAATATTATTAATGAAATAATGATAAATTATTGATATCTTAACGAGTATAAAACAGAATTTTAAAGGTTTTATGACTTAGGGTAAGATAATGACTGGAAGTAGTCGACAGGAAACCCTAGACCTAGGTTTTGTACTGATTGGTACTCGTCAACAAGGTGTACCTGTCATCATGAGAGAACTGATACTCCCTGACGGATTCCATCCCGTGTCATCCAGCTTCACAGTCAGAGACGTTACCACTGAGCTATCCGGGTCGCGACTGACTTCCTGTAGGACTGAGATGTATTTACAATTGACTGATCACCGAGTGGTGATCAATATTATGTATGTCATGTCCTTTTTAATGCAGATCGAATCCTATCGACTTAGGGTAAATGAAAATTTAAAAGTTGTTGTAGATTCTCTGTATATAATTAAATTCATATTTACATTAGAATTCTTTTTGACCAAAAAATCTTAGAATGACAGTACATTATGAATTCCTTCCATTTTAAATATGAATCCGATATAATCTGCGAAGTATTTATCAGTTTACAGGAATTTACAAAGAAATTCTTCTTGTTGATGTGAAATGTGTCATCTACATATCGATGATAGATGCATAGCCTGTTGATACTGAGAGCGGCACCTTCGATAATAATATCATTCAACATTACTCAATAACCAACAATAATTATTCTGTCACTGATGATAATGATAATATTAATGTTAATTTTTAAATATGTATGACAAATTAGACTTACCTCACCAACATAAACATTACAACTTGTATTGCATGTATCACCCTGTCGATAACAAAGAGTTAAACCAAATTTTTCATCTGGTTTTTTACGACACAATGTAACCTCCTATTAGAAAAACAGAATAAAACTATTTTATTATGTATAAGTTTATATGCGTTGGAGATTGATTTCAGCTGAGATACCATTAATAATTGGGGAGCAATTTACAGATGTTTTATCCTAGTATGGGAGCAATTTAAATGTATGGAAATACAACTCAAACCAATGACCAAACTCAGCACCTTCAGTAATTATTATGAACATTTAGCAACTAAAACTAGTGAGTCGACGTTTACTGACACGAATTCAAGTTCAATCAACTTTTTTTTTATTTCGAGAGAGAGGGTTATTCAGTGCCATTTGTGACAACTGTTACATTCCTGACGAATCTCAACTCATACAGTTTTAACCTTTACTTAGAATATTAGGAACACCTGGAAATAAGTCATTAGTGAGATGGTTATTATATATTTGAAGAGAGGTACAATATTGTATGTTGTGCTTTTATTCATTATTACTATGCAATATATTGAATTCTAATTAAGATCAACAGGTGGGATATTTAAGAGCATTTGACGACTCATAGAAAAAGATAAGACCGATATCAGATGAAGATTATGTTCACATTCAACAAATATGGCAGTAATCTCTTAATTAAGTATACTCAACTTTCTCTATCGGGTTTTATTGATAAGTGTATGAAGAAAAAAGGAAACTAATGTACCCTAATTAGAAGTACCATTAACATTATGATTGCTATCAAGCTTCTATCAAATATAAAGTATACAACACTTATAAATACTTATGCATTCACAGATTATGTTTACTTTCTATCGTACACTTTTTTTGTAGTTTACATTGAACATTCATATTTAATAATTTTATCAACGACATTTATATTTACAATAGTCGGGTGTTTACCCACTACTTACAAGTGTACACATATTAGATAAGATAATAATAAATAACAATAATAATACCTGTATCCAACTCAATGGTAGTATTCTATCCTCTTTATACATCAATTACATTTTATGTATTATCATTATGATTTGTAATAATAGTAGTATGATCAAAATTTTAAACAAAAAAAGAATCAAATGAAAACATCAATGATAAATATATTATGTTGTTGTTGTTGTTGTTAAAGATTAAATCAAGTAACAAACTGAAAGAAAATGGCGCCACTCCCTTTTGTTTTCTTTATCTATGCATATGATGAAAACTACTATAAAAGATTGGTCATTGTAAATCATAGTCTTCTTTCTTCTCCAAAACAAATATATATAGTTCCACTTTATCACTACAGATTTGTTTATTTATGTTATTGAAGAATGAGTTCAATCCAAGATCTAGTACATTCGATATTGAAGTATGATATAGTGTAATTTTTATCACGGATATAAATGTTTCTGCTTAAATGTAATATTGATTTTTATAGTTGATTAGGGTTAAATAAATATTATTGAGATCAAGAATTAATCTAAGTCAGATAATTATTGAAAACCAAGAGTTACTGAATATCAGTTTCGTCCAAATATGGGACATATCGGTAGTGTATTATCCTGTAACTCAAATCCATATCACTCAACCGGGATTCATTGGTGTTTAAGTTCACCAATCTCCACAATCTCATTCTGATAGTTTGAGTGAATAATTTAACCTAATAATAATCAACAATGGATAGTTTAAGTAAAGATGAATAGTGGCTAGCAGCTGAATCCAGTTGGATAAGCGTTTCGTCATATTTGGGACTCGTCAGCTAGATGTACCTGCATCCCAGAGTTGATGTTCACTCAGGAACTCGAACCCAGTATTGTTCGTTTCAAATGCCATCGCGTTATCCACTTAGCTACTGAGTTCTGATAGGCACCTGCTTTTATCTCCCCGGAGTAAACATAAACTCTGGGATGCAGGTACATCTAGCTGACGAGTCACAAATAGGACAAAACGCGCGTCAAACTGGATTCCACTGCTAGCCACTATCTTTCTTTGTTTAAAAAGCTTGTGATTTAAAGCTATGTCGAGGCAATTCGCACAGATTGCACATATGCCAACATGCGACTGATCAATTACAGTCGTAAATAGCAATGGTAAGATACAAGTAAAGCAACACTAGTGAATATTATTACGAATATATTAATCACAGATATTTCGTATGTATCAGAAGGGGTTTGTTGAGATTTTAGAAATTTCACAGATTGGAATCATGAGTCAATTGAAGCTAGACCACCATGGAAACCCTGGGGTCACTGGACGGCCGTTCCGCCCTAGTATGGGACTCCTATGCAGTGCACATCCACGATCCCGCACCCCACGAGACTCGAACTCAGGACCTATCAGTTCCGCGCCAGTCACTTAACCAACTAGACCACTGAGCCGGCATCGAGTGGTGTTAATTTCTAACTTCAACCAGCCACGAAGTTGCGCCACCGTATACCATTATCTTCAGTGAGCTAATATCTCACAACAGACCTGGTTGAACTGCACTGGTCACAGCTTCTCACTAGCACTATAGGAAATAACTCATGAAGCCAATCACTAGTGGGCATATGTTGATTAGTATCAGAAGGGGTTTTGTGGATATCATAGTAATTTTAATAGTTGAGATCATTAAATTTTGTACAAGTGGATATTGTTAATGCATGTTATGAGATTCATATTTTGAAAAATGTACTGAAGTCACATTTTATTGGTTGATCACATAACACTTGTTATATAATATACCTAGAAATCTTTGAAACTTAATGAATCATTGGTCGCTGAGTAGTATTTATCAATATCATGATTGTCTAGTCCTTCAATGATGATCAAATATTATTGATTAAGTTGTAATCTAACCACTAATCTAAGTAACACAACATCGCATTTCTGTGTGCCGTGATATGAACTGGTTGGCAGTCGATATGAAACCAGAAATCAAAATGTTATTTTGATTTTATATTTATCATTGATTCCTATAAAACTAATGTCATCACAACGGAGTTAGAATCCACTTTGTTCCGATCTATCTTAATAATACTTACTTATGCCTGTTACTCCAAATGGAGTATAGGCTGCCTACCAGAATTCTCCAACTCACTCTGTCCTGAGCCTTTCTTTCTAGTTTGATCCAATTGTTGTTCATTCTTCTTATGTCTTTCTCCATTTCTCGGCGTAATGTGTTCTTTGGACTACCACTTCTCCTTTAGCCTTGAAGATTCCATGTGAGGGCTTGCCTTGTGACACAGCTGTGTGCTTTCCTCAATGTGTGTTCTGTCGACTTCCGGCGTTTCATCCTGAGTTCTTCTTCCACTGGAGTCTGATTTCTCCTCTCCCACAATAGGTTGTTGCAGATAGTGTCTGGCCAACGAATCCGAAATATTTTGCGTAGACAACTGTTAACAAACACTTATATCTTCTTGATGATTGCTTTTGTAGTTCTCCAAGTTTCCGCCTTATACAGTAGAACTGTCCTGACATTTGCATTGAAAATTCTAACTTTGCTATTGGTTTACAGTTGTTTTGAGTTTCAGATGTTCTTCAGTTGTAGATATACTGCTCTTGCTTTGCTAATCCGTGCCTTGATATCTTTATCAGATCCATCATGTTCATCAATGATGCTGACCAGATATGTAAAGATGTTTACATCCTCTAAAGCTTTTCTATCAAGTGTGATTCGATTGGTACATGTTGTATTGTATCGGAGGGTCTTGCTTTTCCCTACGTGTATATAACTTAATAATTCTTAACTTTTAATAGTAATATGTAAATGATTTTCAATTAAAACCATTATTTATTTTTAGGAAATACGGAATATACATTTATCTCTATTTAATGAAAGTAAACTGAATTGCTTTTCCTTTGGTAGACTTTCTTTATACGCATTTTATTCATTTACCTTCTTGTATGGTACATTACAAATAGAATGAGATTAATGTAGAGTGATAAGTTTAGGCTTGTCTAAATTTCGTACAAATAAATTTAATAATAATAATGACAAATAATGTTATATCTAATGTATGGTACGAAAATCTCTTTAATAAAATCAAGGTAAGTTTCATTATAGAACATGGTAAAGAATATTGATAAAAATCACTTTTCTATTCCGATAAAATAAGAAACAAAAGATTGTTAAACACCCTTTAATATGCGCATCCACGATTCCCCCCCCCGTGAGATTCGAACTCAGGATCTATCAATCTCGCGGGAGGCGGGATCGCGGGTGCGCACTGTTGAGGAGTCCTATACTAGGACGAAACGGCCGTTCAGTGCTTCCAGGTTTTCCATAGTGGTCTAGCTTCAATCGACTCATAATTTTAACCAATAAAATTAATAAAATCTCCACAAAACCCATTCTGACACTTTAATATGGTTGAATGGTTCTAGGTTTGACTCTTGATAGGTTTATATATGAATATGAATGGAACATCCTGTAAAAGGACAAAATAATTGTTCAGCAACTTTTGATATTCAGTGGTTTGTAGAGTGATTTATATTTGGAGCTTATGTATAAGGTCGTTATCACATATACTTACTCCTTAAGTTTAGCTATAATGGAGACAAAAAGATTTTTCTTGTATTGAAGATGATCACCTGTAGAGTTTTTGAATTCATAAAGATATTGTTTATTGTTTGATAGTTTTGATTATTGCTAAACTGAGAACACAGAATAATTATGTTGCTGTAGTTATAGATTAATCGGTAATATTTTTCTAAGTTGTCACACGATGTTGAATTAATAATATTCAAGTTTTATAATAAGGACGATATTGCAATCTAGTGATTCATGTTCTGTACTTCAATCAATTTGTGATAGATTTTAAACTTTATTTTACGGCTCCGTTAAAACATTGTTGCTCTTCTGATATATTGAATAATACATATTACAATCTGTCGATAGTCCTTCTAGAAATATATCACTAACAAGAGAATAGCCAATTGGTGGTTAGCAATGGACCTAAGGTGCTTGTATCATCCTATGTGGGACTAATCTGATGAATGTGCGTGAATCCTAATATTAATGAATATACAGATCATCTGCTCAGGATACACTTATTGTTTAATCACAATGTATAATATTAACAACCGGAAAATGTAATTAACAATTGTATAGTCAGTTTGTTATAGTAGTGTTTATTGACTTGTGGTTAATAATGACATGGTAATATAAATGATTAATGATATATATATACATTGGGAAAATGGAACTAATGATGATAACGGTTATTTCATGATGTTCTATGAATAGTATTAGTGCAATAAAAAAATGTATTAGCAATGATATGTCAAATCACTTACTTTAATCAATATATTCTCTGATTGATTAAATTTCATATCCCAAGTGACACCATCATTTCCTTCTTGGAATGTTATACTTTTATCTTGAATATCCGGTATTTCATCATATTCTATGTTATCATTTGAATAACATGGACAGTTAACTGATCTCGGATCACAGTTCACGTTGGATGAAGTAATAGCATCTTTTATTCGATCATTATTATTATTATTATTATCCTGTTCATCGACTTCATCATCATCACCATCGATATCAACATCGTCATCTTCATCAATATCATCATCGTCGTCGTCATCGTCATCATCATCGTCTTCTTCAACTATATCCACAAGATCAGGAAATTCTGGATGGTAGATGCACTCCAAACTATTAAAATGAGGATAAAATTTTTCATTATAATTTTCAGAAAGATAAAATTTGGATAAATTTCTATAGGAAGCTTTCATTTTTACTGCTATGATTGAACATTATGGATATTAAATTAAGTGTATGACTGCATAATATTTTTCAAACTTGTTTATTTAGGCTTATACTTATCTTCGAGTCGTACACTATGTATATAGACGATTAGTATCAATAAACTATTCAAACAGGATCATGTTCAAACTATAGATCAAATTGTGTTTTTTTAAGAATTAATTTAAGGACTGACACAGTCATTTATCAGTTTACAAACATATATGGAATATTATTAATAAAGCTGTATAGTGACTAGTAGTGGAATCTAGGAGGCACGTTTTATCTTCTTTGAGATTTGTTAGCTGAATCGACTCATATATAAATGTAGATACTTACTTACGCCTGTTACTCCTCGTGGAGGAGCACAGGCCGCCCACAAGCACTCTACATCCAAACCTATCCTCGGCAATCCTTCTCATCTCTTTCCAGTTGTTATTAATTCTTTTCATATCTGATTCTATTCACCAGAGTAATGTGTTATTTGGCCTTCTGCTTTTCTGATTCTCTTCAGGATTCCAGGTTAGCACTTGCATCGTGATGCAGTTTAATGATTTACCTGATGTATGTCCTATCCACTTCCAACATCTTTTCCTAATTTCCTCTTCAGTTGGAAGCTGGTTTGTTCTCTCCCACAGTAGGCTAGGCTGTTACTGATGGTATCAGGCCAATGGATGTTGAATATGTTGCTTAGACAACTATTTATAAATACTTGTACCTTCTTGATGATGGTTGTATTATTTCTCGAGGTTTCAGCTCCGTACAGTAGAACTAACTGTCTTGATGTTCGTATTAGAAATTGTGACTTTGATATTTGTTGCCAGTTGTTTTGAGTTCCATATTTTCTTTTATCGTGGGGATGTTGTCCTTACTTTGTCAATCCTCACCTTACGTCTGCATCTGATCCTCTATGTTCATCGATGATGCTTTGCAGGTGCATGAAGGATTCCATATCTTCCAGATGTGTAGATGTAAATGTTCACAATTAAACCAAAGCTCAGTATCTTATATCTCAAATGCTAATCCATTAGTCCCTAAGCTAATGAGTCCATATAGATATTAGCTTATGGATTGAGTCCGAGATTTGTTGGTAGCGGTGTACTTTTTTTTCTCTGTTAATGTTAGAGACCAAAGATTGTTAGTATCATTTGGTATATACAACCTTACTGAAACTTATGGACAGTTAACAATATTCAGATATCAGAAGGGTTTTTGTGGATATTACAGTAATTTTAATAGTTAAGATCATAAGTCAATTGAAGCTAGATTATCATAGAAATCCTGGAATCACTCGACGGCCGTTTCATTCTATTGTGGGATACCTCAGCAGTTCTCATCCACAAGATTATCCTATAGCAACTTACGTGCAATTGAGTTTGTTCTCATTTAACTCAGTTAAGCCCTTTTGTTAACTTATTTAGCAGACAAAGTCATCCGTACTATAACAACTTATTGTACCTTTATTATTGTTGTGCTTGTTGAAATATGTATGCTTGAACATTGCTTACCGCCTACGCATATATTCATTTTGTTAGCTTTATTATTAGCTGCTTAATTGAGTCGATGATCCATTCATTTCCTTACATATATACATGTATATTTACACTCTACACACTCTCGGTCCGCTGACTCACTCATTCGCACCATTGCTTTGTGGTCTGAGTTATCTGCTAATAAAACTGTAGTCGCTGCTTCTCTTTGCCTTCTGATTTCAAACATCGTTAAGGATTATATGGTATCGGTTACGAGGGTGATTCGTCAACGAAGCACAACCAGTACAATCCACTCAGAATATATAGACGTTAGAAGAAAAACAGACTGCTTAATTACACACCTTAACACTAACAATGAAAATTCTTACAAATATTTATACATACATTCATCAGTTTTAAATGAGGAAGCTTTTATTTCCTTGTAATTCTTTCCTCTCTTTAAGGTTGATATCAGTTCAATATCAACACTGATAGCAAATGATGTAATAATCGGAAATAATCACATTTATATTATGAAAATAATTCCGACTTCATTTATTATCTTTACAACTAAAAAGAAAAATGTTGTTCTTTTTCAATGAACATTTCTTTTTACTTCGTTGTGTTTTACTTGAATATTTTAGTAAAGTATTTTCTCAACGAAGATTTTGTTATAGTCATCAAAAGATTCTAGATGTAATACACTGATCTCATTCACAGACAATGGTATTATACATGAGACACACACATACACAGCGAGAGAGAGGGGGGAGAGAAGTTGGGGGAACATATTACCATGTGAAAAAAATAAATTGTATAGACGATTTAAAAGAAGAAAAAGAATGCAATATGACATTATGGAATAAGATGTACTAACAATGTAGTGTGATAATAGAACATAATAATCAATATCTTGTTGCCAAATGTTTAACAGTAGACAAATCCTATCACTAAATGAATAAATTAACATTCAAGATTGATCGAATTGGTTCATAATTAAACATGATGGTAAACTTATGTTGTATAAGAAACTTGAGAATGTTATTTCTACAAATGTTAGGAGATTAATATTCTTTTACAATAAATTTGAAATGTTATACGAATTTATAGTCGTAGAATAAAGAAATCCTCAGACTTAAATTTATTACTACTTTGAGATGGTGGAAAAAATTTGTAGCTCAGGTAGATGATTTGGATGGAGTTCTGTTCTCTAAGCTGAATAGTTTGGTCGTAGAGCTTTCATCGTTCTTCTGAACGACATCATCATCACAAACTTTAGGTAGAAGTCAGACTTCCATCCAAATTATTACTACTTTGTTTTTTAATGAAGCCAACAATTCAATACTAATATTTTGACAGTATTTTTGTATATATTTGATTGATTATTGAGGTTTAAAGTTCAATTCCATATTTTTCACCTTTTTAATGATGATTAAGTTCTGTTGATCAAATAGAAATGTGAACACTAGTCTAAGGGATATTACATGATTACATGGTAGTTTACAGGGAACCTTGTTTAATCCAGGTGATATACTATTTGGCACTAATCAGTAGATTCAAGTCCTACAAGGAACATCATTTCCCAGAAGGTTATAAGTACGACTGGTTTTGTGTAGACTATCACCAAGTGCCTAAATTCCATTCTTAAATAGTAATAACAGTGATGGTCTAACATTGATCAAGTCATGATTTCAATAAAAACGTAAGATTTCAATTTCAAATAGATTCACAGAAATTAAATTTTATAATTTATGAAAGTATTTAAAACCCTTTATCCCTAGACCATTGATCTGGTATCCAACAGTTTACAAATCGAATATCAATCAATTTTTAACATTGTGCAACCCTCTTCTAATATGTATGACGAATAACTGCATCACATTCCTGATGATCATAGAGTTTAATTATATCAAGTGTGTTGCAGTTATTTACAAAGTAAATTAAAAGATTCTTACACGGTTTTGTAAATTAATTGAAACTTTCCACTTTGCTTTCTTTTAATTATTCACATTTATTAATTGAATTCATGATTCAAATGAACTAGACCACCATTAAAAACCTGGAAGCACTGGGCGACGGTTTCATCCTAGTATGGGACTTCTCAGCAGTGTGCATCTACGTTTCCACTTCGAAAGATTCGAACTCAGAACCTATCAGTCTCGCGTGCGAGCGCTTAACCTCTAGACCACTGAGTCGACCGGCATCCGACGGTGTTAATGTCCAACTTTAACTAATCCACGAAATTGAGCGACATATTCACTACTGTCATCAGTGAGTTGCTATCTCACAACTGACCCGGTTGAACTGCACTGGTCACGGTTTCTCACTAGAACTTCAAGAAATACCTGTTGGAGACCGTCACTCTTGAGCATATGATGATTACAATCAGAGAGAGAGAGAGAGGTTCTGTGGATATTATAGTAATTTTAATAGTCGATTCATGAGTCAATTAGAACTAGTGGAGTCCTATACTAGTACGAAACGGCCTTTGAATGCTTCCAGATTTTCTATGATGATTTAACTTCAATCGACTCATGAATTCAATTGTTTAAATTACTATAACATCCACAAAACCTCTCTTTGATTATATTTAAAATTTTCTTTAAAACAAAAACATCTAATTATTAAGGTAAAAAACTATTTACATTTCTAGCCTTATCAGATACATTTTGTCTGATAACAGTAACTATGTACGAAGACACACACACACACAAACTATCTCTATGTTTATTAACAACGTATCCATTCGAGAAAAAAAAGGATTCCATAATCATCGAGAACATTGTGGAAGAAGGATTAAATGATAACTTATATAACAGTTATTAGGTCATCATATAATATTGTACAAGTTCATAAACAGGTCAAAAATAAATGAAGAATGAAGCAAAACACAAATGATGAACTTGTCCGATAAGAAAAAGAAAAACGATATAACTCTATGGTTAAATATTAAAAAAGAAAATCAAAACATTAACAGTAACAAAACATTACCAGGAGGTAGGAATAATTAAACCACCAGTCAAGAAATATTATTATTATTACCGGTTCATAAGTAATAAATACAAGTAATGTGTACATTTTGATTAACCGATAATTACTGTTGAATGAAATCAACTGTGTGTAATAAAGTTTGTGAAATTTAAAGTTAACCGGAAACTGTATATAAAGTAATAAAAAGAGAGAGAAAAAAAGTAGGAACATTATTATCAGAATCGGGATTCGTGGGATTGTATTAATATAAATGGTTGAATTCATGAATCGATATAAGTTAGACCACTATTGAAAACCTAGGAGCACTGGAAAGCTGTTTCGTCCTAGTATGGGATCACTCGGAAGTATGCATCCACGATCCCGCATATGGGACTTGAACTCAGGAGCTTCTGTTTTGCGCGCAAGCGTTTAACCCTAGACCATTGATCCGTCATCTCATGGTGTTCATAGGCTGTGAAAGTTCATGGATCGATTGAAGCTTGATATTAACACCCTCCCATTTTGGCTCAGTGGTCTAGAGGTTAGGTGTTTGTACACGAGACCGAACGCCTCGGGTTCAAGTCGTGAATGCACACTGATGAGGAGTCCCACAATATAACGAAACGGCCGTCCACTGCTTCCGGGTTTTTAATGGTGGTCTAGCTTATATCGACTTATGAATTCAACTATTAAGAAATGCTATTGTTTGAATATTTTGGGATATTTCTAACATCAATGACACACACAGAAGAAAATCGATGAACTGATTGGCAGCCTGTTTAATTCTTTGAGATGTCTATTTGTTCTGGCTGTATGAAAAATATAGTAATAATAATAATAACTGTATTACTGGTTTGGATTTCTGATAACTCATCAAGTCCATTAACCATGTTATTTATCGATTGGCATAGATTATTAAGTTAAATACTATCAAATTAAAAAGGTAACACACAATATGGTTGGTAATACTCAACTACTTGTGTTAGGCTGTTAGTAGAACATGACATAATTAGATTGAAATTTATGCATTAAAGCTCAATACAGTTGATTTTTAAAATGTATAGGTGTTTTTGTATGCTACATTTCGAACAGTTTGGTCACACTTATGCTTATCAAAGCATGAAAATAAATGTACATTGAATAACAGAACAACTATCGACAACAATCACTGAGGTATCCTGCCGATTAGTCATTTGTGAATGAAGAATTTCTAATAGCTTTCCTTTTTCAATAATATCCAGATGATGTCTGAAATAAACTGGTAGATTGAACCATTTAAACTCTATAAAAAGGTTTAGGAGATGTTTTTAAAGTCACTCTGACTAAATTATTTCAATGGTTTGTCCTACTAACAAGGAGCAAAGTTTTCTACTGTGTATGTTTATCTACGTTTATGATATTTTGCATTCTCTGCTGAAAATTAATTGCTGCAACCAAACATACACTACCGAACAAAGCAGTATTTAAATTGATTGATTATTAAGTAGTGACCAATGTCATATTTGTTTAGTCCTTCAGACGTATCGTCTCAGACTGTATAGTTTGGTAACACATGATAGAATTCCATGTGGAGTGTTAGTTTCCTTCAGATTACAGGTACACATTGTTGACGAGTGTCAACTAGCATGAAACCTAGGTGAAACATAGTTTCTTATCGAATACCTCAAACCACCTAAAATAAAATGTTGGATCGGTTCCACAAAAAATTCATTACTCATTTAAGTGATTATAAAATTATTCATGCTAACCAGGTTAGAATCTTCAGGGATGATGTCAGTGAAAAAATGTCTCAACTTCTTTGATGAAAGCTATTATAAGGTAATGTTTACATGATTTTATGAACAAATTTTCCGTTGTCAAAATCAACGAATAAAGCATTAGTTGATTGTTGGTCTACAATAATACCATGCAACCGATCAAATCATTATTGTAAGTCTCTGAATAATCTGAGATCAAAGACAAGACTATTGAACAGAAGAATTTCAATCTATCTAGTAAAATGACACTCCTCTGTTCAAACTATTGATATGGAATGAATATGATCAATTATCAAATGGTATTGGAGTTAACCAGTTTGCAGGTGACTCAATCTTCAATTAACAAACATCAGACTTAAGAATAATTCTTGGAATACATATCACATATCTGTCACCACCTTCTCGTGGCGGGAGTATTGTCTACAAAATTAAGAGAACGAAAAGCGAATTTCCGGCACTTTAACTGGATTGGTGAATATGGAGGTTCCACCTACGGGAGTTGGAAAACCCTGATTTCAAACCAATTGTGCACATGGGTTCCACGATCCTGGGGCAACAAATGGCATATGAACTTATTGTCGGTCACCGATTTCCATGGAATTGCAACTCCTGACGTTGCTCCACTGCCTTGTGGATTAGACCTCCAGGTCAAAGGCTTGGGGAGTGGCCTTTAGTATTCCAGCCATCACAGAAATCGAATGAGGAAGTGTGCGCATATATATTTGCTGCTTCCTTGTAACAGTGCTTATGTGTTTAAATAAAGAAATTAACTAAATTTTCTTTGTCTACAAAAACAATAACAAAGCATAATATACCTCGTTGGTAAAGCAGAGTGTCTTATTCCAAGTGCAGTACGTATATCTTCGGTTGTTAATGCGGCAGCAGCCATCGCAGCCAAAGTTGCCTCAGCTGTACTTGGATCAGTTTGAATTGCAACAGAACATTTATTCTGATTGTCTAAATTGTTTACAGGACCAGAATTCGAATTTGGAGCAGATTTTTGTGATAGTTCAACGTTTGGATCACGACGAGCAACTTCTACGATAATAGGTTCTTTAGCTGTTTGAAAAGCATGAATTGCCTGTTCATGTGTTGCATTTCTAAGATCTTGACCATTAACCTAATTTGTAATTAAATAAACAAAAAGGAACTTAAATTTGGATTGTAAACTGGAAATAATATTAATTTTAATAGATTAATTAGAAATTGTAGAACATGATTATGTTGAATTTACATTCAACTATTAGAAATTCGAACCGTATTTCACATTTAGACTTAATATTCAACAAAATTAATAAATTGACGATTGAAAGTCTTGATAGTTTTAACTCCTTGTAAACCAATCTCGATATCACTGAATTGGTAATGTTTGGATGTCGACCCAGTCGTCTAGAGGTTAAGCGCATGCGCGCAAGACCGACGGTCCTGGATTTGAATCCCGCGGGCGGGATCGTGGATGCACACTACTGAGGAGTCCCACAATGGGACGAAGCGTCCATCTAGTGCCTCCAGGTTTCCAGTGGTGGTCTGACATCAATCAATTCATGATCTCAATCAAGTACATTATAGCTAACTTATTCAAGCGTAAAACTTATCGGCAATTAATGGACATGATCCATTTATATGTAAGTTTATGATATAATTAGTTTTAATTTGAAGAGAGAGGAAATAATTATGGTTAATATTAAGCTTCATTCTGCAATTGGATTTGAGTTAGCGGTGATTTGATTAATATGACGATAGCAGGAAGTTTTGTAATCATAAAAAAATAAAATATCCGATGACTTTCTTATTCATCTGAATTACCTTTAAATTACAGCATACTTACAAATGACATTACATTTTATTACAGTCTGACATTATATACTTATTTATAGACTAATAAGGCATCTCATCCCAACAAAATTATCATTAAAAATTGAAATGGTGATAAATAACACCTGAACTATTCATCTAATTCTCAATGTAATCACATAATCTACTCTCTTGATATTTATACTATAGTTTACAGTTGTATTATGCTGGAAGAACAATAACAAAATAGTGAAGCTCTAATTAATCCACGACTAATGACATTTTAGATTATAGTACTGAATGAAACAGATTTATATCGATACAATTAAAATATCTATTCCAATGAATTTATGCAGTATGTGATTTGAAAAGTTAATTAATGTAAGCAGTGGAGCTGGATAATAATAATGATGAAATAATCTTGTAACATTACTATTGAATAAATCATCTTGAACATACGTAAGTTTCGTAAATATTATTCACAATCTTGAATGGGGTAGAGATTTAAGTCTGCTTATAACAGAATGACAAGTTACAAGTATAACCATATATAAGTTTACCAGTGTTTAACTGACCTACATCTAATTATTCTCAAATTATGGCTGTTGAGATATCTGACTTAAAGTTTATGAAGGATTAATGAGCTTTAAGTTAGATCGAACTGATAAGCATTTAACAAACCAAAAATTCAGACAAAAATAAATTTTCATATTAGATAGTGGTCGAAGGTAGTCGACAGGAAACCCTGGACCCGGGTTTCGTGCTACTTGGCACTCGTCAGTAAGGTGTGTCTGTCATATTGAGGGAACTGATACTCCCTGACGGATTCCATTCCGTGTCACCCAGCTTCACAGTCAGAGACGTTACCACTGAGCCACCTGGGTCGCTACCAACTTCCTGTAGGACTGAAATGTATTTACAATTGATTAATCACTGAGTGATGATCAATGTCATGTATGTCATATCCTTCTTAGTGCAGATCTCAACATAGTGCACGCAGTGTCGAGTCATCTAGACTGTTGGCCACGTTGCAACTTGGTCGATAGCATTCGATCTGCACTAATAAGGACTAGACAAGGATGACATTGATCACCACCCAATGATCAGTCAATTGTGAAATTTTCATAATAACTGTTTCCTATTGATTTCTATTTAATATCTGTTGATAATGCAATGAGAAGACGAAGGTTATCAGGGTTATGTGATATATTTGCGCGGCAATATGGGTATGTGTTCCGCAACCTTTAATTACAGATCACGACTGCTCCTCCCTATGTACGTGTTTCCGTACATACATATAAATGGATAGACATACTGAGGTATGACAAAATCGCTTAAGTGTTGTTCAGGTTTTTGGTGAAACATAGACCTTATCTTTTCAATAATGATAAACTCAGAGTTATATTTTGAATCCACTCTCGATAACTACTACATTTCACACTTAATTTGAACAGTTCAAATATTCATTACTAAGGTTTAGATAAGATAATAATAGTTGTTACATTGTTTTTTTTTTTTCTTGTTAAAATTTTCTTCTGTCCAAAGTGGAAATGAAAACAATGAATATTGAATATAGCAAAATTTATAGTTTAAATATTGATTATAACCACTATTCTAAACTTGGTTATAAGCTAACACCTCGTTGAATACATGATTAGCGTAACTACTTATAAATAAACCTCAAATTGTGTAGGGAAATAAGAAATATTCATACAATAACTTTTACAAATTCAGAATTCTGATTGATGTTATGGGAAGATACGAACAAGCTGTTTATCAGACTGTCAATTCCCATTTTGACTAGTGACACACATTGATGGATTTAATAAAAAATAACCTTGAGTAATGATCGAGATTATCTATAATTCTATCAGTCTAGAATGTCATTTCCTATAGTTCAGTAACCGAATGTAGTTGAACACATCAAACAGAAACAAATTTCTATTATCTTTCACCATAATCCATACACTCATAGGTTGACTTAAGTTAATTACTCGACCACAACACAAAACACATGAGAAATCAAATTTATATACACCCAAGATATAAATGATAGAGAATTCAGTAGATGTGAATTATTAACTAATAATCACTTACGGGGGCAGCTATGAAATATGTTTACAATAGTTTTTGTTAAACAGAAGTTTACAATATAGGGTATATTAAACTACAGTATTCCAATTATTCAATAACTAATCACTAAGACTATATATAACAGATCTTCTACAAAATAACTGTAGAGTTTTTCAACTTCCCCAACATCCACTCAGTTCTAACATAAACTACATGAATCTTTCCTATCAACATGATGAATGATTATCGAATAGCATGAAAATGATCTACTTTCATAGTATAGATCAAAATTAAACTGATTTTAGATGTTAAACCAAAAAAAAACCTCATTATCCTTTTCTTTTCTTTTTTTTATTATTAAACTATAGATACCCGTAAATTGTATGTAAAATCATTTAGTCCTAATTTTATGACAGTGAATGATGTGTATGTGTATTTGTGTGGGTGTGGCTGTGTGTGCGAGTGTATTAATCTATAATGTTAGTAAGTTATCTAACAGTTCCCCAGTAAGTTTTTTTGTATTTTACAGAAAAGAAAAAAATAGATTGATAACCAGTTTTTTTGTTGTTTACTATTCACTTACAAAAGAAAGAAGGAAAGAAGGAAAGAAGGAAGGAAGGAAGAAAAAAGAGAATCATGTAACCATCTGGTTTTAAACTTATACATAATGTCAATAGATTATTCACAATTTACGTGTTGAAAATACGAAAAAAAACCCAGATTGGTTGCATTTAATTAAAACAAAAAAAATATTCTCTCACTGATTATATATCTAAACAGTTTGTTTGTTTCCATACTCGTTTTTCTTTTACAATATACAAGTGGATTTAGTTAACAATTGTGTATATACATGTGTGCACATGTATGTATGTGTGTGTATGTGTGGGTATATGTGTATGTGTGTGTATGTGTGCATCATTGTGTGCTGATCTAAACATATGCTTCATATTATTTCCACAATGCATATACCTCGTAACATCGATTCATCAATGATCAATGATTCATTATAGTACTAATTTACGGAGAGTAAAATAACAAAACTTAATATAGACAGGTGCCATTAGTAGTAGTAGTAGTAGTAGTAGTAGTAGTAGTAGTAGTAGTAGTAGTAGTAGTAGTAGTATAAAAGTAAATAACTAAATAAATAATGAAAATATTATTATTCATTCCTTTAAATAAAAATATAATTGAATTAATTAATTGTTTAAATTAAATTCATTTATTCAAATCAAACAAACACAATGGTTAATTGTATAGATTACAGTTTAGTGAAACAATTCAGTTGGCGACATTATAATAATAAAATTTAGAAAAAAGAAATCTCAATTACTTTGTTGGTTTATATAGATATATATGGATATAGATATTCGTTTTATATGTTGATTAGAAAATTCATTCATATTTAATGACAGAAGGTTTGCAAGACGATTATGTCACACATATACACACACACTCTTTCTTAAAACTGTGCCGTTTCACTTTTGGTGCACATGTTACATAATAAGAAAAAAAAAGCTGATAATATTTACAAATTTGATCGGTTTATACCTTTGAAGTGTATAATCTTTTTTTAAGTGGATAAAAGTAGTCGACTAAGGTTTTATGTTAGTTGACTAGCTTCATAGTTTGAAAGAATAATGTTGAGATATTAAGACCATGAATGACCACCTATGTTACGAAGATTTTTGCACTTGAATAGTCATTGTGTAATGATCAGTTTCTAATCATTTTAGCTCTGATCGAATTATATTGGTCGATTTATAACACCAAGTTACAGAATCTAGGTTTCTCGATGATTATCTTCATCAACCTTTGGTCTCAAGAAAGCATATCATGTCGAATAACTGGTGTTCATATTACAACTTTTCCAATGAACTAGATCAGTACGAAGGGAAAAGATAAACATAACATTGGTCTTTACTCAGTGATCAATCAACTATATGCAATTATTACCATTATCGAAGAAAATAAACCTCTCGTTTAAATCTCAATACAAAGATTTCCAACATACCATATCAAATATAATGACCTCAATAAGATCAAGGCATTAGTCCTATATTAATTATGGTTTATATGTCCAAGCCTTCCTGTATGATGACAACTAGTCTTGGAGATTTTTCACTAAACTTATCATTTGAATACAGTCATTCGGTGAATCAGTTGACTTAATTTTCTTCTAGAACAATTCTATTCACAATATTGAAATTGTATGTTTCACTAGAACGACTATTTTTTTTCATTAAGGAACAAATA